CTGCTCCAAATGACACCTTTGCAAAGGGAAAGCCCCTTTCAGAAGCCCCTGCCTCCCCCCTCTAACTACCAGAGCTGCTTCACATAGCCCTTTTGCAAAAGGCAAGACTATTACCGTATTTTTCGCCCTATAGGACGCACCGGCCCATAGGACGCACCTAGTTTTCAGGGGGGGAATCAAGGAAAAAAATATTATTTCCCCCCCGCAGCTCTGGGAGCAGTGGACAGGCTGCACGCAGCCTGTGCGCTACTCCAAGACCTTCTCCCTGCTTTTGCGGGAGGTGGCGGAATTCCCCCACCTCCCGCAAAAGCCCACAGGAGCCCAGCGTGACTCCTGCGGGCTTTTCGACCAGGAGGGAGAAGGGACTGAAACGGCCAGTCAGTCCCTTCTCCCTCCTCGGGGAAAAGCCCCCAAGAGCGGTGCGCTCTTTAAAGGCTGCGTGGCTCCTGCGGGCTTTTCTAGGAGGTGGGGGAATTCCCCCCCTCGTAGAAAAGCCAGCAGAAGCCGCGGAGCCCCTTTAAAGAGCGCGAGGCTTTTGCCGGCTTTTGCGGGAGGTGGAGGAATTCCCCCATCTCTCGCAAAAGCCCAAAGGAGGGTTGGAGAGTAGCGTCGCACGCCTTCCCGCTGCCCCCCATCCTCTGGGGCTGACGATGGGGGAAGCGCTGCTTTCCCCACCGCCAGCCTCGAAGCCGGGTTGGAGAGTAGTGGCAAGGCGTCGCACGCCTTCCCGCTGCCCCCATCCTCTGGGGCTGGCGATGGGGGAAGCGCTGCTTTCCCCACCGCCAGCCTCAAACCCGGGTTGGAGAGTAGCGGCAAGGCGTCATGCGCCTTCCCGCTGTCCCCCATCCTCTGGGGCTGGCGATGGGGGAAGCGCTGCTTTCCCCCACCGCCAGCCTCAAAGAGCAGACTCTCCTGGCTTCAGCGGAAGCAACATGAAGCCTCCGGAGCGCAGCACACATTTCCCCTTCATTTTTGGAGGGGAAAAGGTGCGTCTTATAGGGCGAAAAATACGGTAAGCACCATAATGGCATTGTGTGATTGTCAGGGTGTGGCCCTGCCCACCTGTCCAATTTGGCCCAAGAGGCAGGTCCCCACCCCTGAACAGATCAGCTCAGTCTGAGGTGCCCTTATTCCATGTGGGATGTTCCAGCTAGCAACAAATCTTGTGAGTGGGTCGGCTTCTCAGCCAACTCCTGAATAGGACAATTGTCTATAGTGAATGAGCAGCTGGTAGTCTTGTTGACCCGTACACTCTGAAGCACAGAATCATAAGCTGGAGGCAGACAACAGATTTTCATCAGGTTGGAAGTGGTGCAGCAGACGCCTTGTTACATGTGGAGGACCCCCATTCCTTGACTTGGTCCCCCGTCATCCCTGGTTAAACTGGGTTTTTAAAATATGCTTTACTATCAATAATGCAGAATAAATATATTAATAACAACCATACAAAGAAAACAACCAAACAATAACAGAGTCCATTTAGTATTAGTCATACATGAGAAGCACAAGAAAAAAACGTGAATTCACTTTTTAAGATTAATCATTACTAATTTTGTAAAGACAAGGCTACGATCTGCCAATAACAAATGCATGAGAGAAATCTCCAGAATTACAACAAAGGTAAGTAAAAATAAATAAAATATTAAACAAGAGCCAGTATTTAGCCTGACTATCTTCACAAGCTCTACAAGTCTACAGTGTACAGCACAGAGTTCCCAAGATCCTGGTCACTGATCTCCATTGTCATGCCTTTTAGCTATCACAGGCTCCATAAATTTGCATGTTTCTGCTGGTATATTTGTTTGCTCTATAATTTATATATTTAATAAAGTCAAACGAGACTGGGTAGAAGACCCTTTTCTTGACAGCCCTTTGTGCAGATGAACTTTACATACCAAATTTCCACCGTTGGTTTATCCGTGTACTTTCCAAAGTGTGTGATGGTCAGTTGCTGCCGTTATCAAGTAGCACATTACTTTTATAATCCAAATTTTGGCCATCCCAGATGTTCAAAATCACCAGGGTGGGAATTGCTAGTGTTTCTTGGTGAGTAATACATTGGACTTCTTCAGCACATGACTCCTGAAAATTGCCACTTTGGGGCAATTCCACCATTTATTTAATTAATTACATTTATATCCCACCTTCTTCTCTAAGCTCAAGCATGGTTCTTCCCCCATCTCATTTAATCATCACAACAACCCTGTGAGGTAGGTTAGGCTGAGAGGCAAGGTCACCAAGTGACTTCACGTCTGAGTGGGATTTGAACCCTGGACTCTCAGGTCCTAGTCTGACACACTAACCACTATACCACAAAGGGATATCAAGGTGGGAGTGTGTGCCCTTTCCTTGTCCAACGAATCAGCAAGTCTAGCAAGAACCAGCAAAATATGGTTTTAAGCCAGGCATAGGCAAACTCAGCCCTCCAGATGTTTTGGGACTACAACTCCCATCATCCCAAACCACTGGTCCTGTTAGCTAGGGATGACGGGAGTTGTAGTCCCAAAACATCTGGAGGGCAGAGTTTGCCTATGGCTGTTTTAAGCATTGTTTCCTTGACACTGAGCCCAAGAGCCTTGCTATTCCAAGTTTCCCTCAAGCTGCAAATCAGTGCCGAGACCAAGATTCTTTCAAACTCTGTGACCTCCCCATGTCCAGTGACAATAAATTTTTGGAAACTTGCCCTTTTAAGACAATACAGCCACCCCCAACCTGGTGCCCTCCAGATGTTGCTGGACTGACTACAACTCCCATTAGCCCCACCCAACACACCATACTGATGGGAGCTGCAGGGCACCAGGTTGGCGAAGGCAGATTTCACATTTGCAGCCTTGCACCATTCCTTCAAAGTCAGCCTAAGTTCTCACTCACGTCTCCATATATTTTGCCTCACAGAAAAGCAACTACTTCCTTAATACTGAGCCAGCGGCTCTCTAACACACCCAAAGCCTCTTGCAAAGTTCTCTCACCTCTGGTGGGTGGGGGAAAACCTTGGCTTGTATTGCTCTCACAGGCTGTGAAGAGAGCATTTTTAAAAATCCAATTGAATTATTAGAATAGAAATCCGGTCTTGGCACTGATAACATGCAAGTTGTAACTTAGCAAGAGAAGGCTCTGCTGAAAATGCTTCACCACCTCACTAACTGCAAACACAGACACCACAACTACTCATGGCAGGTGTGTGTGCTGTTGCTGCAGCCTGTGAACACATAGACCACTGGGCTCCCTCATGCACATCTCCCTCTGAGACAGGAGGTCCTCCCAGCCACTGATTCAAGGGCATCTGCTGCCAACTGTGCCTGTTTTCAGGGCTGCAGCCCAAAGCTCTTCCCACCCCCTATTTATTTCCCCCCAGGAAGGTGTCTTGGGCTTCCCTGCACTTTCCTGACTGTGCTGGGTGGTGCCCACTGCAGGCATTCACCTGTCCTTGCAGTGCTAGCCCAGGTCCTGGGGCTGCCAACTTCTGCCACTCATGTCCAGGTGGGTGAGGACAAAACTAACCAGGATGAGAAGTTTGCAATCTTTTGACAAGAACTCCTTTGGTATCCTCTCCTCCCCCCTTTTTGGTATCTGAAGAAGTGTGCATGCACACGAAAGCTCATACCAAGAACTAACTTAGTTGGTCTTTAAGGTGCTACTGGAAGGCATTTTTTTTTGTTTTTCCCCTTTTTGTGAATGGTCATTCTGGAAAGTAGAGGTCACATTGAGGTTTCCAGCAGCTTTCACTAACCTGGTGCCCACCAGATATTTTGGATCACAATTTCCATCATCCCCGACCTTTGTCTGTGCTGGCTGGGGCCGCAGCCCAAAGCACCAGGATGGCACCAACTTGGCAAAGGCTGTCCGGAAGATCGTGGCAGCCCAGCCAAAGCTGGGCCTGGGTCCTGAGTTGATCTAGAACCCAGGGCTCTCCTCCGCCCTTTACACTGCCCGGGCAGGAGGACTTTGCCAAGAAAGCTTCCTCTAGCCTCCCTCTTCCAGTCTTGGATCAAAGCTCTCCAAAGTTTAGAGCAAAATAAAAGGCAACCCCAGCACCCCTCAACCCCACATAATTTGGGCATAGCTGGGCACCTGTCAGGCCATCAAGCCCAAACCCGAAACAGACCAGAAGAAGAAGAAGAACTGAGCGCTCCTCTTCCCACGAGTTGCTTGTTCCAACGCTTTCCCCCTATTTGTACTCGGCCCCTCCAGCTTCGGGCCACGATGGAGTCGCCCTTCACAGGCAGTGGGGCGGGAGCAGGCTGGGGCCCTCACGTGGGCCCTCGGCTGCTTGGGTTTTCCCCGGGCCGGCGCGCTGCGACGTTGCCCCGCCGACTACCTGCTCTCTCCGGGCTGGAGCCCGGGGCGCAGGTGGCCGTCTGGGGAGCGCAAGGCAGGGTTGCTGCCGCCGCCGCCACCTCCTGGACGCCTCCCGCGGGCCCAGTCCGCCCCTTTCCCTCGGAGCGCCGCTCTTTTGTTCCGCCGGCGGGCAGGCAGGAGACCTTGCCCGGGCGGCCTGCCTGGCCAAGGCGCAACAAGAAGCGCAGCAGAGCGGGGGACCTACCTCGGCGTCCACTTCGCCCGGGACTGGCCCCGCCGAGGCCCGCAGCAGCAGCAGCAGAACCCCCAGCAGCAGCAGCAGCGAGGGCTGCGGACAGCCTCCGCCTCCCATGCTGGACGCCGCGCCTGCTCCTCTCTCGGTCCACAGCACGAGCCGCCGCCGTCCTCGCCCCGGGCCTAGCCAGGCCCCCTTCGCTACTTGTGGCCCGCCCGCCTCTGCTGTTGCTGCCGCCGCCGCCGCGCCTCGGCCATCGCCTTTGTGTGGCGGGCTGGCGCTCCAGCCTCGGCGCTGCGCCCGTCCCGTCTGCTCGCCGCTCCCTCGCCCGGCTGGCTCAGCGGAATGCTCCAAGCGCCGCCCGCCCGCCCCGTCGCGCCCTGCGCTGGGCTGGGCTTGTGGCGGTCGCCGCCTAACGGCCAGCCGACTCACCGACCGCCCCTCAAGCCCAGGAGCCAGTCCGGAAGGCCCCCGAGGGACGGGCAGCTAGCAGCCCCACGCCTCCAGGCTCAAACCGGAACGAGGCGGCGGCTTGGCCGTCTGGGCTCCGAGTCCACGCTTGTAGCTGTTTCAGTCCTGGGGGGCGGGGTCCCTGTGCGTTTGCTTAAATAGGATTCGGCGGGGCCCCCAAAGCCTCGGAAGCGGCGGGAGGACTGACACGAGCAGAGGATAGTTCATTTGGTGAGCGCATGGTGCTGATAACGCGACGGTTGCAGGTTCGATCCCCGTATGGGAGAGCAGCATATTCCTGCCTAGCAGGGGGTTGGACTAAATGACCCGTGGGGTCCCTTCCAACTCAACCATTCTATGATTCTAAGATATTTCCCCGCACTTGATCAAAGTTATCGTTATTTAGACATCAAGACTTACTCTCAGCACATTCTATGGAATAATTTATTTATATTGTTATAATGAAACTTTTCCCTCAAAAGGCAAGGGCAGAAGCGACAGGTGCAATGCCCAGCCTAACGGTGTTTACTCAAAGGGTAAAGCCTGCTGAGTCCAAAAGGGCTCTCTTCCAAGGAAGCGTGCAAATAATTACTGCCTTAGCAACTTTCATGTTCTACACTCAAAACAGCTTCTCTTCACCTGCCCCACCCCCTCTTGAAATTGCACAAGTTCACCTTGAATGTGGAGCAGCTTAAAGGCTAGAAAAGCATTCGCCACCCATCCCAAAAAACTCCCTGCCTGGTTTTGGCACTTCTCTACCCAGTCCCACCAGGACCAGGGTAATCCATAAGTTATGGATTTGTTGCCAGTTAGCACCTTCCCAGCTCCCTAGGCCAATAAAGCAAGATGAGCACTGCAACCCCAGAATCGGCCACGACTGGACCTAATGGTCAGGGGTCCCTTTACCTTTTAATATTTGGCTGCTCAGCAACTGTGGCCTTAATTAGACACCAGTTCAGAAGTAAAATTTCACTGAAGACAGTGGGATTTCTTCCAAACAGAGAAGAGGATATGGGCTGTTATTAAGAACAGCTGGGAAATTCTGTTCAATGCAAAACCAAGTAACTTGCAGAAAAGGTTTGGCCTTTGCCAATCTGGTGACCTCCAGGTGGACTACAATTCCCATCAGCAGTCCACAACCTCTGGAGGGTGCCAGGTTGGCAAAGGCTGTTCCTAAACAATGATTGGTGGAGAAGGGCCACAGTGGGCAATAGAACTGGCCTGGCAAGAGCCGCATAAAGCCAACGCAAATTGAATTCGTATTTTAACTCCTGCCCTTTTGCTTACTTTGTGACGTTGATCAGGACTTTGCCTCTTCCCTGGTAAACAGAGTTCAGCAGCAACTGTCAGTGCATAGTTAGGAACCTTTCTCGGCTGGGTGATAAAATTAGGTGTTCTTGTTTTTATCAATTGGGAATCAGCTTTGGCTTGGGTTTATTGCATTTTCTGCCAAAAGATATGGCATCTAACACAATCTGACCAGAAGTGCATTAAGGTCAGCACCATCTTTTTCTCACAGAGGTGTTTCCGGGCAACCGATAAGCAGGACACAGAAGATGACAGCTGCTTCCCACAACGTGTATTCAGAGGAATTCTTCCTGTGACGCCGGACCTTCAGCACATACCCATAGCAAGGAGGAGGGCATAGCTCAGGGACAAAGTTGATGCTCTACTTGTAGAAAAGTCCAGGTTCCACCTTCGCATCTCGAGGTGGGCTAGGAAACACCCCTGAATGAAGCCCCAGAGAGCCAGTGGCCTATAGACAATACTGAGCTGGGTAGGTTATTAGCCTCAATTGATACTTGAGAGAATTGCCTTATCCCTTATATGCCTGGTGGGTCACTGTGCCTTGTCCCTTATATGCCTCCAGTGGGTCACTGGAGGAGAGCTTCTCCTTTCAAGCCCCCCAGACACCAGAAGTCCACTCCATAGTGGTTTGGAGCAGGGCTCTCAGCCTGGCTGCACCTGTTTTGTGCAACGGCATTCCTGTCGAGATACAACAGGTGCTCACTTCTGTGCTTCTGGAAACAACTGAAGGAATTTTCTGTTTTGACAAGCTTTTCCAGCTGGAGGAGAAGAGTCTTAGGTGCTCATTTTGTATTTTATTTTTGTACTGTTTTAAAAACTATTTAAGAGCATTTTTAATGTGTGCTTTTTGTTAATTGCTTTGACACAGATGCAGATGAAAAGGGTCGTTCATAAATGAATAATAATGAAGCAACTTTATCAATTGCTGTCCAAAGATTTGTTAAATACTCCTTTACAGCCCCATTATTACAACTCGTGGGAGCAAACTCTATAAACTAGGTATTGTATGTGGTGCTACAGTCTTCCTTAGCCTGGCGCCCTCTGGATGTTTTGGACTACAAGTCCCATTAGCTATGCTGGCTGGGGCTTGTGGGAATTGTAGTCCAAAACATCTGAGGGCACTAGGTAAGGGAAGCCTGAGGCAAGACTTTAAATCTGTCCTGAATCAACTGCCAATCTATCTCATTAAGTGGACCCACCTTATAATACTATAAGGGAGAATATTTTCTGGATATGTTGCATAATTTTATAAACCTTCATTGTATTCCCCTTCCTTACACAAGCCCCCCTCTCCCAGCTAAAAAAAACCCTCAAACCCTTTAGCTTTTCCTCCTTCTGCAAGTACTCTAACTAATTGGTTGCTTGGGTTATTTTTCTGTACCCCTTCCAGCTCTACAATGTATTTTAATTTAATTTTTTTTAGTTATGACAACCAGAACTGTACATAGTATTGCAAGTGCAGCCCATGTAACAGATTCATGTACTATGCTGGCTATCTTTGAGGCAGCAAGGCTTCTGAATACCAGTTGCTGGAAACCTCAGGAGGGGAGAAGGCTCTTGAGCTCAGGTCCTGCTTTCGGGCATCTTCTTGGCCACTTTGAGAACAGGACTAGATGGGCCATTGGCGTGACCCAGAAGGGCTCTTCTTATGTTCTTATTTTCAGTCCATATCCTAATATTCCCTAGCATGGAATTTGCCTGCCCCGGGCATTAGAGACAGCAGCTCCAACAACAGGAAACTATATTTATTAAAAACTGTTGATACGGTTTCTCACTGAAAATTCCAAGGCAGATTGTAACAGCAATATAAAACTTAATTCAAACCTTTGCAGATTTATTTACACTTATAAAAAAATATTTAATACCGTCTTTCAGCTCCAATTGGCACCCCACCCCCCAATACCGCAAATCAAGGCTGTTTTCCCTACACTCTGTTCTTAAACCAGTTGTAAGTTGGTATACCTGTCCTGTTTTTCCCCACAGAACTCTGGTGTGGTGGCCTTTTGGGCAAGCTGAGAATTCCCTGAGAGATACCTTTATAGACCCTTTATGCAGCCCGTACCAACCTGGTGGCCTCCAGAAGTTTTGGACTACAATTCCCATCGGCCCCAACCAGCATGGGATGGGGAGGAAGACAGGGCAATTAAACCTCCATAAGATGCAGACTGTGAAGTGATGGTAAGGAAAGCCAACTCAACACTGACCCCTGGCGGTTATCTGGCCAATTGACAAAAACACTACTATGGTAAAACCCAATGCCCCTTCTCGCACCTCCACGTACCCCAATACAGTGGTACCCCGCAAGACGAATGCCTCGGAAGACGAAAAACTCGCTAGACGAAGGAGTTTTTCGTTTTCTTAGCCGCTTCGCAAGACGCATTTCCCTATGGGCTTGCTTCGCAAAACGAAGCTTGCCCCGCAAGCTCCGGGGATAGCGGGGAAGCGCAGCGCGTCTTCCCCGCTGTCCCCGGACCTCTTTTGAAGCAAGGGGCGGCGGGGAGAAGATTGCTTCTCCCCGTTGCCAGCCCCGCAATCTCCGGGGACAGAGGGGAAGGCGCGCGCACCTTCCCCTCTGTCCTCGGAGATTGCGGGGCAGGCAACGGGGAGAAGCAATCTTCTCCCCGCCGCCCCTTGCTTTAAACAGGTCCGGGGACAGAGGGGAAGGTGCGCGGCGCTTCCCCTCTGTCCCCGGACGGTCTCCATAGGAATGCATTGATTGATTTTCAATGCATTCCTATGGGAAACCGTGCTTCGCAAGACGAAAAACTCGCAAGAAGAAAAAACTTGCGGAACGAATTAATTTTGTCTTGCGAGGCACCACTGTATATAGACTTGTGGCTTTTGAAACTGTCCACACAAGGTGGGGATCTGTACTTCTGTTTCTCATTTGATCCATTTTTAGCTAACAGCTCAGTCCGACAGCCAGGAGGCTTCATGCTCTCAACTAGCAAGGATGCTTTCGAGCCAAATGCTTCTTGTGACACCAGCTTTAGGGGCAGGCAGGGATCCTCTCAAACTTCTAATGGGTAATTTCTGCTGTCCTCCAGATCAGGAGAGATTCTACTCAGCTGTTGCCACTTCAAAACTGAGCATCTTTTTCAACTGGCCCTCAGAACTGAATGGCACTTTTGCATGTCACAACTCCCTCAATAATCATCCTGGCACAAAGCTGTGGCTGTTAATGTAGCCTCTGCATTCTTTTGTAGCACTGGACCCTTCACCTTAGGCCAATCACTTGCAAGACCCTTAACAATGAGCAATGGGGGCAAGGGGCTACCACCATCTTACTGCTGAGCCACGAATATCATTTGTTGCTTCTGACCATTCCTTGTGTCCTGGCAAAACAGTAGGTAAGGTCCATCCTCAGCTGGCGGCTGCTGCGGATTATTCTCCCAGCTCCTACCGTAAAGGGAAGGAGAAGATCTTCTTGCCAGACTTGCAACGGACTTCGGCCCCAGGGATTCGCACAAGGTATGAAGAGTCCTCAAACCTATTCACAATCTCCTGGAAAAGACAAAGGAGGAGAGAGGGGTGTATATTATGCAGAGCCCAGGAATCTGATTGGCCCCTGAACATTTAACAGGCAGCATGCTGGACACGTGGCAAATGTGGGTAGGGGAGGGCTTATACTTCTGAATACCAGTTTCTGGAAACTACAGGAGAGGAGAGCATTCTTGTGCTCGGATCCTGCTTCCAGGGTTTCCCACTGAGGCATCTGGCTGGCCACTGCAAGAACAGGATGCTGCACTAGTTGGGCCATTGGCCTGATCCAACAGAGCTCTTCCGATGTCCTTACGGCTTTGTGCTCCCATCTGGGCCCATCTACTTTTGTAATAATTGGCTTTGAGGTCCAGTTCAGGGCTGCTGGTTTTGACTTTTGGAGCCCTTCACAGTGTGGGTCCTGTGTGCAGGAAGGAGCACATTCTCCTACACAGACCTTCCTGTGTGCCTGCTCTGTCTCCCATCAACATTTAAATCAGCCTTCCCCAGATGTTTTTTGGAGCAGCACTCACATCAGCCCCGGCCAGCAGGAATTGTAGTCCAAGACATAAGGTTGGGGAAGGCCGATTTAAAGAAGAGGGAGATGTAGAGATAGCTTTATAGTTGCAGTACCCTCTCTGTGGAACTCCAGGTTGTTTAATTCCTTAAACATCTATGCCCGTGAATGACATCCGAGGTGGTTACCTGCAACTCCTGAAGACAACTTTCAAGTTCTTCAGAAAGGTTTCCAACACACCATGCGAGGCTGAGATGGAATGAGGGATTCTGTACAGAAGCCAGAAAAAAGCAGGTGCTAAGAATCTGGAGAAGCTGCACTAACCCAGCTAGGTGCCACCACCTCAGAATTCCTGGTAGAAGCTGAGCACCCTTCCATGGAAATGAGACTCCAGGGCAAAGAGGGAGGCTTTGGGTGGGCTGGTTGGTTTCTTCAACAAGTTTAGGTTACCACAGCTAGTTTATACACATATCACATGAGATCTGCAGTCTTATTTGGGAATACTGGTTGGGGCTGATGGCCAAAATATCTGGAGGGCACTCGGTTGGTCATTGTATATATATAATGTAATAAACTCTATCTATCTATCTCTCTATCTATCTATCTATAATATAAAAATAAACTATATATTATATATATAATGTAATAAACAGTTTATGTAATAAACTGTTTACTTCCAGGGCCTTGGTCATTCAGCAGCAGCCTCTTTTTGCAGACTCCACTCCCTCCTAGAACAGTGGAAGTCTTACCTTGTAGAAAGAAGGGAGACTGAATTCCTCCATAACTCTGTCCACTTCAGAAACCAACTCCAAGAGCTGAGAATGCCCAGAAGTTACCTCCAAGCCAATGAAGGTCCTGCAGAGAGATTTGACAGAATCTTAGAGCAGTTCAATGTTAATGTTCACCATGAGTGCCCCCTTTGCCCCAAAGGGCCAAGGGGGCACCAATAGGATGCTGCCCCACTTGAGGCAAACACTGGCCTCCCCCTCCTCTCTACCAACCTTGTCCTTGTGCAATTATTCTGCTTGTGCCAATCAAGCCACAGGATGGTTGGCAATTTCATCCTGAGGACATGATGCAAAGCAGCCTATTGCTCTCTGAGGAGTAGCCTCAGTGCCATTCACTCACCTGCTTTTGGGATCATTGGTGTAAATCGTCACTCGATCTGCTCTACAGGTGAACCTGAAATGGGGAAAGAATCCATCTGATTCCTTTGCAAGATGAAGAGAAGGCGGACAGGGGAGAAGAAGTAAGGCATACTGAGACCCAGGGGCTGGGGAGTGGATTTTCTGATTTGCCCCTCCCTGGAGCCTTTAAGTCACTCTCTTACCTGGGGAAGGAAGCCAGGTGTTCCTTGAGGGACTGGACAACAGGGCTTATCCAGTGGTGGCGCAGGATCACACCCTGAGAAAGGCTGATGTGGAACTCTGCCATAGCCGTCAATGATGGCACGGATGCACGTGCACGCAGGAGGAGGAGCTGGAGCAGGTCGAGGAAGTCCTCCTGAGCCTCATCTGTACAGAACGGTAGAACAACAGTGGAGGATTGGAGCAGGTGGGTGCGTGGGTGCATCTCTGCTAAGCTGTGGTGGCAACTTGGTGGTAAGTCATACTTTCTAGGCCTCAAATCTCTTCTGTAAAATGTGGATTACAATGGCCTCCTCTACCCTACAGCCACTACCAACCAGTACCTGTGGATGGGTAGAGAAAGATGCTCTTTGTCTACCCCAAGTCTCCCCTAGTCACGATGGCTCTATATTACCTCTGCCATTGAAGGAAGAAGGAGAGTGTGATTGAGCTGGTGTTCTGGTTTGGGACAGAACAAGGCAAGAAGCAGAGACCCCACGGAGTGAGTAGGTGAGGTCTGCATCTGGGCCTCCCTCAACACTTGCTGCTCATTTGCTACTGCCCACTGGCTGTGGAATGATTTGAGGTGTGCTTTGTTGGTGGGGAGGAAGGTGGCAATCTGGCAACTTCCAGGAACTTTGGGGTAGGGGGAAAGTGATGATTTTTTTTGTGCAGAAAAGGGCAGAGCTGCATGCTCACAGGCGTCTGTGAAAAAGCTCCATGGTGGTTTTGGAAAGACACCGCAGATATGCCTGAGGCAGACATAGGAGTGGACAAGAGCATATCTGGAGCAGTGCTTTACACCGCAACACTTTGTTGCAGTTAAATGATCTGTGGTGCTTCTGATCTGGTCCCCCCCCCCCCATATTATGAATAGGAACAAAGGAAGCTGCCTTATACAGAGCCATACCACTAGCCCATCTGGATCAGTATTGTCTACACTGACAGTGGCTCTCCAGGGTTTCAGACAGGGAGAGTCTCTCTCATCCCTACCAGGAGATGCTGGCGATTGAACCAGGCACCTTCTACAGCAGTTGTGGCATTCTATTGAGGTGTTTGAAAAGAGCTATCCTCTTAGACATGTTTAGCCTGGAGAAAAGATTGAGAGGTGATATGATAGCCACCTTCAAATATCTAAAGGGCTGTCCTATGGAAAATGGAGCAAGCTTGTTTTCTGCTGCTCCAGAGGGGAGGGCCCGAACCAATGGATTTAAATGACAAAAGAAAGGAGATTCCAACTAAAGATCAGGAAGAACTTTCTGACTGTAAGAGATGTTCGACAGGAGAAGAGACTCCCTAGGAAAGTGGTGGACTGTCCTTCACTTGAGGTTTTTAAACAGAGATTGGATGGCCATCTGTCAGGGGTTGGATTAGATGACCCTTTAAGTCTCCTCCAACCCTACAATTCTATGATTCTGTGTCAGTAATTCTATTAAGGATGTCTGGTCAGCCACATTAAGTTGTGACTGTGGCTCTGTGGGCACCTCCCTCCTTTTGCCCATTGGAATGGCACTTCTCTGCCATACAGATCAAAGAGCTGGAAGGGCTCTGCTCCTTGGAGAAAAGGTACCATTTCTGGCTGAATCCCAAAGATGTGTGTTTCCAGAGTTTGACTTCCTAGTGACACTGGGGTCGGAGAAGAGGACAAAGAGCAGAAGGGCACTCACAAGGCACGTAGACATGTGTTGCCCAGTTTCCTCGCTCATGGGGAAAGGTCCGCAGGCGGCCTCCATGCTTGCTGCTGTCGTCCACCACTGTCTCTGCCTCCTCCTGATCTCTGAACATACATAGCACGCTGTCCGGCACAGGAAGGCGAGGAGCTGTTGAGCTGCAAGGCAGAGGGAGAAAAGAGAATTCCCAGCCCTTTTAATACTCTTTATTTGGAGCAAAACAGGCCAAATGACTCTTGGCCCCTGCACACTGCACACATTTTTCAGTCCATGTCCTACCCACAACTTCAGCACTCAGATGAGTGCAAAAATAAGTCAAGTGGCTGGATACTGATGGCTCTGCAATGCATGGAGAAACAGAGCAACCCATCATGCCCAGAAAGAGTGTGGTTTGAGGAAAACTGGGCAGAAAAATATTTCAGATGACCTCCCTACATCAAATTTGTATCTAGCATTGGGTTTTTCCTGCTCTAGGGAAAGTACTGTAACTAAATACATACTCTCTGCTTTTTGTGGAGAAGCAAAAACATTGTTGCCTTGTGAATTAACTGCAGCCCTGTATCTGCTTTATTTCGATTGCTATGCTGTTGATTTCAGTCTGAATTACATTTTAATAATTGTTTTAGTCGTTGCAAACCTCTGGGAAACTCTGGTGGGTAGCAGGACGGGGCTCTGCCCCAACCCACTCAGCTTTGGGACAGAATAAGGAATGGCGGTAGCTCAGTTGCTGGGGCTTCTGCAGAAGACCCCTGGCTCAGCTGGTGCTTTCTCGTGCCAAAAGGGCCCCAAAGCAGCAAGGCTCAGACCTTGCCTTGAGACCCTAAGGGGTGGCACTGAGGTGTTTTAAAGGAAAGCAGCTGGCACCAATTGCACCAGGAAGTGCATGGAACTGTTGGGAGGTATCCACCAAAAGGTGTCGGGAGGAGGAAGAAGGGGCAACAGCGGCACAAACCAGTCCATGGGGTGGCAGGGGGAGAGAGAAAGAAAGCAGGACCCAGCCCAACCCTTCCTGCTGCCTCTGAATTGTTCCCAATCTAGATGGTCCTTATAAGAACCTGCAATTTTATTTATTTCTTAAAAGTTATACACTGCTCGATTGTAGGGGGGGAAACAACAACCTAAAAGCAGTTTACAAAAAATATTTAAGAACTGGTGCCCGAGTTTGCCTTTTTCCTTTTCCCTCCCCACCCCGTCTTCCTTTTGTGCGTGTCTTTTTCGGCTGAAAGGGAAGGGGGCTTTCTGTGTTGAACTGATACGCCCACCTGTCGCCGGGAGAACGGCGGCCTTGACGTCCCTCCGCCGAGCTTGCGCCGCCAGCCTCGCCGCCTTCCCCTTGCGCTCCCGAGGATGCGCCCTCGTCTTCCGAGTCGGAGCTGCTGTAGCCCACCAGACCTGCGACCGCCGCCACTCTACTCATGGCCGGCACGTCAGGATACCACTTCCGCCGCCTAGGGAGAAAGAGGGACTACTGCGCCTGCGCAAAAGCGCCTCTTTTAATGAGCGAAGCTTGCTGAAGTCATGCTGGTGCCACCCGGCAGTAGCTATAGACGTTTAGACTCGCGATGCGTAGCGCTGGGAGTCGCTTACGGGTCGCTTCGGGAGAGCCTTTTCCCGCGCGTTCGCGGGTGGACCGAGCGGTAAGAAGAACGGTGGAAATCATCATCATGTTTCAGCATCGAATTGGTGTGTTTTGATATTTGACTTCGTAAATCGTATCGTTGTATCGCAACTGTGATAACTTTCTCTTTTTTAAAAACATTTTTTCCTCTAACTTGTTTTGTTATTAAAATTCATTACAAATACTTTTGGGGCGCGGGGGATGGGGTGGGGGTGGATAGCAGCAAGGAAGGCAGGTGATGTCCGTTTCCCTATGGGAAACGAGGGCAAAATAGAAAATAAGTCAGTGGGGCTCATTATTTCTGAGCTGCATGATTTCTCCCAAATATTTTCTAATTTGGTTAAGCGCGGGAAAGCACCAGGTAAGCATCAAGACTAAGATGCATAGTCTTGTTTATAAAACCAGCTGAATTTTGCAATGAGTCAATTACCACAGCAATAGTATTTTAGAGCATTTTCCTATCATGGAAGGAACATTGTGAGATTGCATGATTAATATCTCTTTCCTTTCCTTTGAAAGGTGTGAACGTTGACTATCCATTTCCAATATCATGACTTAAAACTCTGAGTCTTTTGTTCTTCTAGTAAAGTTCACAACTCTTCAAAGCATGATCCAGCTCCAATTTAACCAGATTTTAGAATCATAACTTTTCCTAAAGTGGTTGGGTTGCTTCATGAAGGCTCCATGAATAAGGAACCTGTCAAACGCTTCTTGCAGTTAGTTGGTAGTGAAGCGGTGGAGCATTTTTCAATCACTTCAGGCACAACTTCACAATACACATCAGCTTTTGCTAACCTGATAATCCAACATCTGGAGGGCACCAGGTTGGGTGAAGGTTGATATATATACTAGCAGTGACCTCAGTAGTTTTATTGCATTTATAACCCACCTTTTTCTCCAAGGACTCAAGGTGGCATTCATGGACCTTCCTGTCCTCACTGACTCCCCACAACAACCTTGTGAGGTAGATTAGGCTGAGAGGCAGCAAGTGGCCTAAGGTCATCACCCAATGAGCTTCATAGCCAAGTAAGGGGGTTTGAACCTGGTTTCCCAGGTCCTACTCTGACACTCTAACCACTACACCACACTGGTTCTCCAAGGGCTTGCGCTCAATGGCACCAGCAGCCACAAACAAGGTTTGAAGTGGGCAGGGGGAGGGACACCCCAGGTTGGCATAAGTACAAGAAAACTTTGGGAAACAAAACCTGTTTGGAGTGAGGAGACAGCAGCCTAATGACTCCTGAGAATGTCAGATGGGCATGGAACTGGCTGGATGACTGTTGAGGCCGAGGCAGGGGACAGAAAGCTTGGCGGAATCATCAAAGTTGGGAGGGACCCCAAGGGTCATCTAGCCCAACCCCCTGCAATGCAGGAATTGCAGCTAAAGAATCCCTGACAGATGGCCATTCAACTTCTACTTAAAAACCTCCCATGAAGGAGACTCCTTCACCTTCTGAGGGAATCTGTTCCACTGTCAAACAGCTCTTACTGGGAGGGGGCAGAGGGGGAGATGAATGGAATATCCTGGAAGAGGGCCGGAAGCCAGCCATGCTCAGCCGCAACAGCCCCACTGACACTTGCTCTCCTTGCACACCCGCTTCTCTCTCTCTCTCTCTCCCCCTCTGGACCACTTCGTGGCAAGGCCAGCCCTTCTGTTCCTCCGCCTCGGGTCTAACGGGCCCGCGGGCGCTGCGCAGGAGACCTTCGCCCTCCACGAGGTTTGTCCGCAATAGAGAGAGAGAGGCGAGGACCTAACTCTCTTTCGGGCGTATCGTGTGAACTCTCCTGTCTTGGGGTTATTATTGTTGCTGACCCGGGGCGGGGGATTTGGAGGCCTGGCGCCTTTTGGCGTCGGGGATGCGCAGCTGCAACTGGCTGCTACGGCACAGGCTGGGTGCGAAAAAGGATCCCCGCTTCCCTGCCTGCCTTCCTAATCCTGCTATGGATGAAGCCCCCGAAGCATCTGAGCAGCAGTATCGGCTACAGTTTTGCCGCCGTGCCTCGGTAAGCGACGGAGCGGAGGTCTCTCCCCCCAGTTCCTCCCTCCTCACCCGGCCCGAGCGTAGCGCGCCGCAGTTCTCCGCGCGGTCCGGCAGAGGGCGGCCCCGATCCCACGGCTGGGTCCTTCCCCTGCTGGACGCCGCCCCTTCCTCCTCCTCCTCCTCCTCTGCCTCCTCCTTCCCCTCCTCCGGCTGGCTCGACGCCGCCCCCCCTCCCCTAGCCGCCGCCGCCGCTTCCCGGCCCATGCCCCGCTTCGCCTCTCCTCACCGCTGGGACTGCTGCTACGCGAGGCCGGGGATTCGACGGGGCGAGCAGGCCGCGCGACACCTCCGGGCCTCGCTCTCCAGGTAGGGGAGAAGGGAGGAAGCTGGGCAGGGCGACGCTAAAGCGCCTCTTTCCTCGCCCCGGAGCTCCTGCCCCGCCGGCCACACGGAGCCGAGCGGGGCGGCGGTCGCTTTCCCCGCGGGCGGCGGAGGAAGGAGGAGGAAAAAGGCGCTCCTGGCCCCGAGCGGGGCCGCCTGCCCTGCTCCTTGGACGGAGTAGGCCGAGGCCCGGCCAGCGGCACGGGAGACGCCCCGATAACATGTGAAGGCGGCGCTCCCGGGCCGGCGGGGCGAGGCAGCCCTTCGCCTGACCCGGTCGGCCTCGTCGCAACCTCTTGGCCGGCGGCCTGGGGCAACATACGGCCCTCCAGGTGTGTAGATCGCCCCCCCCCGCAACTCCAGATGTTTTTGGCTAGCACAGCTGCCTGGGGCTGATGGGAGTTGGCGACCAGCAACATCCGGAGGGCGCCTTCCTGGCCAAAAAAAAGGCTGGCATCTTGGCTGGGGGGGGGGGGGGGCGGGGAACCTTTGCGTTGCAGGGCATGGGGATGAACCATCTCGATGGGCTCTGCAATGTGGAGAAGCCCTTAACAACCCAGTCACCCACCAGGGCATTTCTGCGGTCATGTTAGGCAGGATGTGGCCCTGGGCAATCTGAAGGGAGAGGACCAGTGAAGCAGCCTTTAGCCACACACGGGCTCTGGACTGTCCAGCCTACACCTGGCTTCTTGGGGTGGGTGCAGCCCCCCAAGTCTCTGGCAGAGAAGAACCTTTCTATGCCACCTAGGATCCTTTTTTACCTGGAGGAGGGAATCTGGGACCATCTGTGTGTAAAGTAGATGCTGTGCCACTGAGCTGCAAAACCTGGCAAGGTGAAATTTCTGTAAGTTGGAAGAGGGCAGTTGTATGCAGCTGAGCATCTCTCTAAAGATAGGCTCAAGCAGAGAAACTGGCCAAATTATCGTGCCCTTGAGTGAGGAGTTGGAGCTGCTTTTAAAAACTTAAGAATAGCCCTCCTTTAAAGCCACCCTAGTTGGTGGCCATCACTGCCTCCCATGGGAGTGAGTTCCATAGTTTTAACTATAAACTGCGTGAAAAAAGTACTTTTTTTTGTCTGCCTGAATGTCCCAGTGTTTTAAGGTAGTGGAGCAGAGAGTTCACAGTTACGCTGCTGTCTTATCTTATGCACCTTGAGAGAGTACTGTAGATGGATTGGCAACAGGGTGTACAGATGTTTCCTTGGGCTCAGTAGAGATGTGATCACTGGAGATGATGGGAGCTATAGTACCAAAACATTTGGAGGGCACCAGTTTACAGTAAAATCCTTAAGCTCTAAGGCTGGTCCCCAGATAGACCAATTTCCAAGAAAACTTGTGATAGGTGGCTCTGCTTCACCAAACTGGAAGGTTTCTTTCCTATAGTTTGGCTGTGGATTTGCTTGCTTGAATTCTTGAGCTTTTCCCCCTCTTAGATTGTTTCTTTTCCGTGGGACATTTTGCTTCTGCTTCTCCACCACTTGATACCTTGCTGTTGCTTGCTTGCTTTCAAGGACAACCATCTTAGCACACACACACCTGCCCTCATTGTATTGTATTGTATTGTCAGATATTTTTTGTTCCTTGGCATGAGGACAGTTGAGAAGCTCTTCCCATCCCCTGGGGCAGTTTTGTCACCTGCATGCTTACACCAACCTTTCCCAACCTGGTGCCCTCCAGAAGATTTGGACTACAACTGCCGTCAGTCCTGACTAATAGGTTAGTGATGGTTGGGGCTGATGGGAGTTGTAGTCCAAAACATCTGGGTCGTACCAGACTGGGGAAGTCTGGTTAACTGGTATCCAGCAGACAGAGGGGTTCAAGAGATGGGCTGAAGATGCAGTAGGTATTTATTTCATATTTGTATCTTGTGCTTTCCAGATAGCTATGCAAATACTAGATGCAACTTTGATTAGCGTTCAGCTAAGTGTTTGTAGAGCTGATGTCATATTGTCAACAAATGATGTTTGTCTACCTGGCTGCCTCTTTATATTAATTTTAAACTTTTTATTTTCTTTGTGCAAGGGTCTTCAAAGAACGAAAAACAATAATCTTGAGCACAGTACAAAATGGATCGTCCCCTTTGTGCTATGGCAGGAAAGACAGAGGTGAAGGCAGGCAGGTTGGAGGGATGGCCTTGACCCATCCCATGGCAGCCATGGAGAAGGTGAACTTGGCCTTTGAGTTACCCATTTTGTGGCAGGGTGCTTGTACAAGTGCTTGCTGCTGTCCAGAGAGATGCAGCTTGAACTGTACACACAGTCCCTGGTGACATCCTGCCCCGTTTCTGGATGTTTATTTATAGCCAGCTCTGTTCCATGGACTCTTGATGGTGCAGGTTAGCAAATAACTTAGTAGTGTGGACAATCTTTGGCAAAGGAGAATTGTGATCAGTGGAAAGTGTATTTTGAAGCTCCAGCTCGGGCAGAGCCCAGTTTTCCAGAGTTTTCAATAATAATAATAATAATAATAATAATAATAATAATAATAATAATAATAATTAATAATAATAAAATTCATTCCAGTAGCACCTTAAAGATCAACTAAGTTAGTTCTTGGTATGAGTTAAGTTAGTTCTTGGTATACCAAGAACTAACTTAGTTGGTCTTTAAGGTGCTACTGGAAGGAATTTTGTTTTGTTTTGACTATGGCAGACCAACACGGCTACCTATCTGTAATAATAATAATAATAATAATAATAATAATAATAATAATAATAATATAATATTATACCCCACCCATCTGGCTGGGTTTCCCCAGTCACTCTGGGGTAAACTGGTTTGGGCTGAAAAACAAAACAAATCTCACAAAACTTTAGATGTGCATTTTTGTGTGTGGATATAAATAGGTCAGCCTTTGCCAACCAGGGATGCTCCAGATGTTCCAGGCTACAGTGGTTGCTGACTGAATAATAATAATAATAATATTTTATTTGTACCCTGCCCTCCTCGGCCAGAGCCGGGCTCAGAGCGGCTAATATATAAATAATACAACATGCATAAAAACAAGCAATCAATTTATTAAAATGCATCCCAAAATTAATTCAAATAAATTAAAGTTAAAGTTAAAACTGGACAAATGACAACCCTCAGGTTAAAATTGAAGTGGATGGGAGTGCCTCAGGTCAGCAAAGGGTGTTCCATGTTGAACACCTGGGACAACGAGGAGCTATCAGAATGATGGAGATCTGGGCAGGAGGAAGAGGAGGAGAGAGTCAATCCTGGGAGAGCCCCTGGTTGTGCTCCCCAAATCAGTGAGGGGGAAACATGATGGAATGGGTATTCCTTGCTTTGGACATGATGGCAGGGTTGAACATTAGGAACAGAAAATGGATCTTGAAGAATTGATGTGTACTATTAGTCCAGCAGGGATGAAACCGTAGCCAGAAGGGTGTTTTTCTCTGCATTCCAGCAAGCTGACCAGCTTTTTTTTCCAGAAGTGCCACTAAGACTAAAATGCCACACAGTTCTCTGGGGAAAGGATCCATTTCTAACTACCAAGTTATTAATAAATAAAAAGAAACACATCTGGGTTCTGCATCCATCAGTCATTTTCTTCTCTCCCCCTGCCCCCCGCAACATATATGCTACTAATATGTTTAATAAGCTCATATGGCTGCATCAGGTTCTAGAGGTCAAAGATCCTCAGGTGTGTTTAGCCTGAAGGTTAGGCCATTGCAATATATTGGCTTACTAGCTTAGCTTGAGTCCAGAGTGTGTTCTACTTGCTTCCTGGATTCCTCTGCAAGCTCTTTTCTAACCAAGCATATGAGAGGATAGAGAAAATACTCAGTTCTCTTGACACCACAGGCACTGTGTGCCCTACAACCTAAATTATCTACCAGGGCTGATGTTTTTAAAGGAAAACAAGCATGGTAAAGCAATATAAATGCTCCTGGGCAGACTGTAGATTGAAAAGGGTATGAAAAAAGGAACCCTGGCCATACAGACTTACACAAAGGGATTGTTTAGGTCTTTTTAAAAGCATAACAACATTAAATAAGTTCTGAATCTGGGTTAGGCTGGACTCCTCTATCTAGTCTAATATCCTGTTCTCTCAGTGGCCAGCCAGGTGACTATGTTTTAACTGAAACTTTTTATAACATTTTAACTCTTTTAAGATTTTTTTTAAAAAGTAGGTTCATCGAAAGATTCTTGTAGGATGTACAAATGATAAAATACAAAACAAACAGGAACGAAACCCGGAACCAAGGCATAACTTAGCCTGGGTATAACACCCCCCTCCACAAACTCTAGCATCATAAATAAAATGAGAAAGTTGGATAGCTTTCTACAGATTCACAATAAAAAATGTAAAGCACATTTCAAGAAGCACATAATGTTTTTGTCTTATTTAGCTCTGGTTTTCAAGCCAGTGACCAACAATGTTTGGGAATCTTATCCAGCTACATAGATTTCTGAGATGCAGGTGAAAGAAATTGACCCTTCTGCTGAGTCACATAAGTTATGAGAGGGGACCCCGTGCCATCAAATGTACTTTTCAGTTTGACCCCTCTCAGACATCAGTTGTTGTTTTTCACCTCACTTTCCCACTAAAGCCAACCATTGCACCAAAACCTTTAAGACAAAATTGTGTGTGGTGTCCCCATTGATGCACAATAGGATTTTTTTTCATTTGTTTTTATGTTGTGGATGTGTTTGCCACTCTGGGCTCCTTCAAGGATATAAATTCAATAAATACATATGGGAAGCCCACAAGTTGGACCTAAATGCAATAGCACTCTCCCTTATTGGGATTCCCAAAGCCATTGTGGCTAGTAGTCACTGAGAGCCTTCTTGTCCGTGTATTGTCTAATTTTTTGTTCCATAAATATCTTGTGCATGTCTGTCTATGCTGCTTGCAACTAGTGTGTGTCCCCTAGTGAAATAGGCCTCCTCTTAGAGTTAAAATGTTAGTGGGGACAGCAGCTTGCTTCCAAGCTTTTTAAAAAAAATTTTTAAAAAATTATCCAAAGTTTTATGCAGGATGTCTTGAAATGGGTGGGTCCTTCAGGAGAGATCTGCAGCCATTCCAGTTGCTCATTTGGGAGTTCTCGTTTCTTAATTAGTGAGTGTTTTGTTGCTAACTTCAAGACTGCCTTCCTGGCTAGCCTTGGAAGTGTCCGTTGATAATTCTCCAGTAGCAATTGCTTCAAGCTGCACAGCTTTTTTTAGTATAGTCGTGTATTTGGAACTTGCATGGCAGAGTTGTGAACAATGGTTGTGTAAGTTTTCAATATAAGCTTTCAATATGGAAAAAGGTTTGTCCCTAGTTGGAGAAACACTTCTGCAATCTCCAGCCTGCGGTCTCTGGCCTAAAATTAATTTTTTGTTTGCTTGTTCTCCTCGCAGTTGTGGGTGGTGGGGAGGTAATCATTAGTAGATTAAATATGCTTTTTAAGCGAGATAAGCAGCTTTTTTCTGAATTGCTGTCTTTCCTTGCAGGTTCCCTTCCTTGATACCCATTCTGGTGCCAGGCAAAAGGCCTCCTGCATCCTTTAGGATGTCCCGTCTGCTGGTGTCTGCTTTGGTTTGAGACGTACCGCGGTGGGGAATTGTTGCGCCCAGTGCGACGAGTTTGTCACCTCCAGGTTTGGGAGCAATTGCTGCGAACTCAGATCTCCTTAATTGATTTGCCTCAGTCGAGAAGCTGAAGCCCTTATTGTGGAAACCCCGATTTCTTTTCCCCAGCATGTCAGAAAGCTGGCCGCAGCAGCCCCCACAGCAGCAACCGCCGGCGCCGCACCATGCTGGGACCACTGCCCTCCCGGAGCATCCCATCGCCTCCAGCGCTGTGGTGGAGAATCCCTTGGGCTGTGCCGTCTATGGCATCCTTCTCCAGCCGGAGCCCAGCAGCCTGCAGCACCACACTTCCATCCCGGCTGGCGGCGGAGAGCCCTCCACAAAATGTGGGCTGTGTGGGCATGACTTGGGGCACCTCTCAAACCCCCAGGAGCACCAGTGCCTGCAGGGGGGCCACGACCGCTCCTTCCAGTGCACCCAGTGCCTGAAGATCTTCCACCAGGCCACCGATCTCCTGGAGCACCAGTGCCTGCAAGTGGAGCAGAAGCCCTTCGTCTGCGGCGTCTGCAAGATGGGCTTCTCCCTGCTTACCTCCCTGGCCCAGCACCACAACGTCCACAACGGCAGCGCCGCCGTCAAGTGCTCCATCTGTGAGAAGACCTACAAGGCCGCGGCGGCTGCCGTGGCAGCCCCTGAGGAGCCTGCGCCACCGCAGCAGCCGGCCGCGCTCAACCGGACTCCCGTGGAGAAGCCCTACAGCTGCTCCATCTGCCAGAAGCCCTTCAAGCACCTCTCGGAGCTGTCGCGGCACGAGCGCGTCCACACCGGGGAGAAGCCGTACAAGTGCAGCCTCTGCGACAAGAGCTTCAGCCAGTCCTCCCACCTGGTGCACCACAAGCGTACGCACAGCGCCGAGCGGCCCTACAAGTGCACCGTCTGCGAGAAGGCCTTCAAGCACCGCTCCCACCTGGTGCGCCACATGTACGCCCACTCCGGGGAGGCCCACCTCTTCCGCTGCAACGTCTGCGAGCTGCACTTCAAGGAGTCCTCCGAGCTGCTGCAGCACCCCTGCACACCAAGCGGGGAGCGCCCCTTCCGCTGCGGCGCCTGCCACAAGGCCTTCCGGCGCCCCTCGGACCTCCGGCAGCACGAGCGCACCCACAGCACGGAGCGCCCCTTCCAGTGTGACCTCTGCCAGATGAGCTTCAAGCAGCAGTACGCCCTCATGCGCCACCGCCGCACCCACAAGGCGGTTGCGGGCACCGCCGCCACGCCAGCGCCTTCCGCCGAGCAGGAGCTGCCGGTGGGGCCGTTCAAGTGCTCCCTGTGCGAGAAGGGCTTTGTGCAGCCGGCCCACCTCCTCTACCACCAGCACGTCCACGGCATCGAGAACCTCTTCAAGTGCAACGCCTGCCAGAAGGGCTTCAGCCAGTCCTCGGAGCTGCTGCGCCACCGCTGCGTGCAGAGCGCCGAGCGACCCTTCAAGTGCGCGGCCTGCAGCAAGGCCTACAAGCGGGCCTCGGCCCTGCAGAAGCACCAGCTGGCCTCGCACTGCGCCGAGAAGCCCCTCCGCTGCACCCTCTGCGAGCGCCGCTTCTTTTCCTCCTCTGAGTTCGTGCAGCACCGCTGCGACCCAGCCCGCGAGCGGCCCCTCAAGTGCCCAGACTGCCAGAAGCGCTTCAAGTATGCCTCTGACCTGCAGCGCCACCGGCGGGTTCACACCGGGGAAAAGCCCTACAAGTGCCCCGCCTGCGAGAAGGCCTTCAAGCAGCGCGAGCACCTCAACAAGCACCACGGCGTCCATACCCGGGAGCAACATTACAAGTGCATGTGGTGCGGGGAGCGCTTTCTGGACCTGGGTCTCCTGCAGGAGCACAGCGCCCAGCATACCTCCACTGACAGCACGTACCCCGTGGCACCCTGCCTGCCCTGAGCATCTCCCCCTGCTGGCGGGAAAAGGTTCATGTCATCCTCCATGCCCTGTTAGCGCTGGGCTTAGGCTACGGCGAGCGACTAGGCCATGTGGGACCCTTTCCTTCTCCTTTGCAGACCAACCTGCGAACAGTGGAGGGGGTGGGGAGGGCTAGAGTAAGCAGCAGTGGCCTCTGTGTGAGCACTGAGCTCAGCAATTGGTCAATTCAGCCCATTTGCTCCTATGAATGGGCTGAGTGTACCTTCGGAACCAGCTGTGACTCAGGCCAGCTTTGCTGCTCCAGGCGCAGTGTCTGTTTCTTGGGTCAGGATGAATGTTCCTTAAGCCTGCCAACCAAATCCAGATCCTCATCTTCTCCCCACCCCTGCCCCTCATGATTCATTAGTGTCTGCAGAGGGGAGTGTGATATTCAAAGAAATTTGCTGCTTGAAATTTATAGGGCAGGACTCTGCAGCAAGGGAAGCTAGGCAGGTGAAATGGTGAGAGATGGACTTTGTGGGCACGGCTTCCCTTAAGGTGCCATCCCTAGGGAAATTCTGCTTGTGTGTGTCTGTTCAGTTCAAGCGTACATCCGAGAGAGAGAAACTTCGAAGGGAACCAGCTACTAGATGGTCCGATTAGTCTTTCACCCTTATACATCCGAGAGAGAAGGCCCCAGAGCAGCCATGCCTTGTGCTCTTCCTGGCTTCCGTTGTCCAAAACCGTCAGGGCTGGAGGCTTTTCATTTCCTCCAAACACCGGAGCTCTCAAGGTGCTGTCTAAGCCAGTGGTGTGAGTGGTCCCAGGGCAGCGTGAAAGGCGACAGAGAGGGAGGGTGTGGTGGAACACAGTTACATATTTAAACGTCTTCTAAAGCCAGGGCAAAGCTTGAGCCTTCACACTGTAGGGGGGAAGGTTCTCTGTGTCATTTCCAGGCTCTATCAGAATGGAAGGAAAGTTTTTTGTTTTGTTTTTTACATGCAACTAAAAAAAGAATTTGGTGGAAGGAGCATTCAAAATGCGCTGCTAGATCTGTCCTGGAATTGTGATCTAGAGGAGCACCATTTGCTTTAGTGGTATGATTGGCAATAAGATAAGCTACAGCTGGTATCACAGAGACTTTGGAAATGCTTTCCTTTGGGACCGTTCTGTGGGACACTGTGTGTGTGTGGTTTATTGCCCTTTCCACACTCAGCCCCCAAACTGTATTAAATTGGGAGGCTGCTGCAGCAGGTAGAGCAAGAACTGTCGATGGAGCAGCCCTCAAAAAAAGCTTTTGTTTGTTTTTTATCTGTTTCACATGGGACACACAGAGTGGCACTGGGAAGGCCATTTTCTAGCCCTGGATCCATCCTGCCAGTTGCCCAGGACATGAAAAGAGGACAGAAGTGGATCATTGGGATGGGTCTGGCCAAAGTTGCCTCTCAAGACCCAGAGCCGTGTGCCTGTCCACACGCAGGGCCTGCTGACTTGTCTTTCACGACACCTCAACTGTATAGAACTAACTTTTATGGAGTTTGTCTTCATTATTTTTCATATTGCTTTTTTAAAAAAGCAGTTTAATATTCATTAAAAATCTGTGTCGCTCAGTTGGCTGTCCCTTGGAATCCTTAAAAGACATCCACTCAGGTAAAGTCGTTGCATTCTGACGTTACTGAATAGTGAGTTCACGATATGCTGCGTAACTACAGGAGTGACATGAAAATTCCTCTTCTGTTCCTTTTCTGGGGAGGAAACTGGTGATCAAGAGGCCAGGAATGGTCTTGCAGAACATCTGGTTGTGCTCTGCAGCAGGCTGGGCAGATTGAATTGAAAAGGCCTGGGTGGGTCCCCTCGTCCGTCGCCTGCTAAGCAGGATGTTTTGAAAGGAAAGGTCCCCTTCCCTCTGATGTCGGCTCAGGAACTGCTCAGGAAAGCAGGGAGGGTCCTTTTGTGGGCAATTTCTTCTTCTTTTGTCCAAATGAGTTTCCAGGCCTGGTGTCTCCAGTGCTCAGCGGAGGAACTAAGGCAGCATTGACAAGGCTGCAGGCTCTCCCTTCCCAAGGCTCAGCTGCTCAGGAAGCTCTTGCCTGCCAGTGATCTCAGTTCCATACTGGAGGCCTTGTCAGGGGCTATTCCCCCTTATCCCCACCTCCTGCTCAGAGAGACCGAACCCCATGCACAGGGAGAAGGCGTAATAGCTGCATGTTTGGGAGAGAAGGCCCTGACCTCCCCCTTTTGAAGGAGGTCTTGTCATCAGTGACCAGCATGAGACCAGAAATGTGACTAGGAAAAATAAATCTGCTTGTGGTTGAGGCTCTCTGGGGCTCTGGGACTTGAAGATGAAAGGAAGCAAACAGTGATTCTCAGAAAAGGATTTGGCCTGTTTAGTTAGCCCAACCTGGTGGAGCTCCACGTTTTGGACTACAACTCCTATCAGTCTCCATGCCAGTTGGGGCTGATGGGACTTGTAGTCCAAACCATCTGGAAAGAACACCACGTTGGGGAAGTCTGAGCTAGCCAGTGGGCCTGTTCTCTGCCTTTAGGACATAGGAAACCAAAACAAGGCTAAATGTTTGCCTTTCTCTGTATGTTGCTTTATTTGCTGGACAGATTTATCCCACCTTTCCAAATAGCTCAGGGAGGTACACGTGGTGGTTCTCCCTTCAGCCCCCATACCGGCCCATCTTTTTCCAATCCTCACAACACTATGTGAGGTTGAAAAAGTGCAACTGGCCCAAATGAAGTTTCTGACTGAATTGAGATTTAAACCAAGGTCTACCTAGGCTAAGTCCATTGCTAGCCACCAAACCCCACTACCACTGCTGTAGGGCTGGGCATTTGACCTGTAAGATGGTGGCTGGATATTTAAAAAGTATTGATTAGAATCATGGAAACAACATAGGAAGACATCATCATCAACATTTGATTTTATTTCATATATGTCTGTCACTTTTCCAGGAACAAAGTTAAGCTCAAAGTAGCTCCCAACAATAAGCAAAACATTGCAAATAACATCCCAACAATAGTAAAGTATAATAACATAAAAATGCAGTAACATTGGGAAAGCAAGAATTAAGAAACTGCAGTCCAATACCAGCACATAATATGTAGATTTGATACCTTCTTCCAGTGGTTTTCAACCAGTGTGCTGAATGATGGTCAGGGGTGCTGCAGGCAACACTGGCCTCTGTTCCTCTTTCCTTCCCTCTCATGTCTCTGCCTCCCAAAGGCTTGCACAACTGTTTGTTACAGTAGCTCTGGCTACAGCTGGCGAATGGTGCCTCTGGAACTGGCCAGGGGGTGCAGGAGCTGAGGCAGTCTCAGAATAAGCAAGCAAGCAGGCAAAGGAGCCTAGCCAGCCAGTCCTCCAGCCCTTGCTGTTGGGAATGGACAAACAAGTCCCAGGCCCCTGTGGGGCAGTGTGAGGAGGTGCCTCTCTTTAGGGCAGGGGCAGCAGCAGTGGCTGCCCAGAGGACTCCCGGGGAGAGGAGAAGAGGCTGAGGGGAAACTCCACAAGGGAGGGTGTTCAAAAAAGGGTGAGAGGCTGCCAGCTCTGCAGGCAAGGGGTGACATAACTAGGCTCCTGAGCCCCACAGGGGTGCCACAGAAAGAATGTACAGTAGTTGGTCAAGGGAGTCATGGACTCAAAAAGGTTGAACACCTCTGCCTTATGCCAATGACAAAGTTGGATAGCTTTCATGGTGAGAATCCCCGCCCCCTTCTCTGCCCCTTCCCCTAGGGAGGAAGAGGTTGGAAGAGCATCCATAGGGTTTCCATTTCTCACTTTATCCTTCCTACAGCCCTGTGAGGTAGGTTATGCTGAGGGTGTGTCTGGCTCAACATTGCTTAATGAGCCCCTTGACTGAGTGAGACCCTGAATCTGGATCTCCCTGCTTCCAGTCCTGCTTTCCCCAACCTGGTGCCCTCCAGATTCTTTGGGCTGCAACTCCTGTCTGCCTTAGCCAACTTGCAGTTGTGGTCCAAACATCTGGAGGTAACCAGGCTGGACAAGTGGCCCTTGCCGCTAATGACTGATTGCATTCCACTTGGAAGAAACCTGCAGCTGTAGCAGGTAAACAGTGGGAAAGCTTTTGCCCTTGACTTGTAACCCTCACTGACTCACCCTTGCTAACAAATGGCACCACCGTGAAATTAAAAAGGGCAAGTTGCCATCTGCACAGCAGTATTTGTGGGATATTTATTGCAGTACATCATTATTGTATTTAAACCCTGCCTTTTCCCCAGACTCAAGGCAGCTTACACAAATTAAAACAACACAGATAAAATACAAAAAGCTAAAGACATATAAAAGATAATTTAAAAGTAATTAAACTATAATAGAATTAAAACAATTCAAAAACAGACCTATTAAAATACAGCAAAAACTACACAGCACTGTTAAAAGCCCTTTCCTTAAAAAACGGTTCCCAAAGGCTTGTCAAAATAAAAAAGGGCTTCACTTGCCAGATGCACAACAAAGAGAGCCAGTCTAGCTTCTCTAGGAAGGGAGTACCAAAGTCTGGGAGGAGCCACTAAGAAGGCCTTTCCTGTGTCCCCACCAAGTGTGCCAGTGCGGGTGGTAGGGCTGAGAGAAGGGCCTCCCCTGAAGATCTCAGAGCCTGGGCAGGGTCTTATGGGAGAATATGGTCCTTCAGCTAGCCTTGGCCTAAGCCATATTGCTCTATTTTCCCCAGTTTTTGGATGAAGACTGTTTCCCAAAGCGGTATCCATCTGGTGCTGGGCTGATACTTCCTTGGGCAGAGAGGTGCTGCAGCAACCAATCCAACAGCCCTTTGCCCCCTGGCCAAGGGCAGCAGCCAGAGGATGTTTCACCTCCCTTCTGTGGCCTGAGGGCAATCTTGGTGAAAAGACTAGGCAGGGAGCTGACCAGCATGCCAACTCTAAAGGTAAAGGTAAAGGTACCCCTGCCCGTATGGGCCAGTCTTGACAGACTCTAGGGTTGTGCGCTCATCTCACTCCATAGGCCGGGAGCCAGCGCTGTCCGCAGACACTTCCGGGTCACGTGGCCAGCGTGACAAGCTGCATCTGGCGAGCCAGCGCAGCACACGGAACGCCGTTTACCTTCCCGATGGTAAGCGGTCCCTATTTATCTACTTGCACCCGGGGGTGCTTTCGAACTGCTAGGTGGGCAGGCGCTGGGACCGAACGACGGGAGCGCACCCTGCCGCGGGGATTCGAACTGCCGACCATGCGATCGGCAAGTCCTAGGCTCTGTGGTTTAACCCACAGCGCCACCCGTGTCCCAACTCTACTTGCCATTAAACAGAAGTGCATGCGGATCTGTGGCTTATACTGGTATCACTGGTGAGGACATGAAATGTTCTCTGGGAAGGGAGGGGGGTCACTTTCTGAGGATGCCTCATTCTTCTAGCCTACCATGACAAAACAAAAACCAGAAGCTCCTGCAGGCCCCATCCAGCACCTGCCTGGGATGTTCTGTGGGCTCGCAACACGCAGGCCCCTTGTACTTCCTCTCATTGCAAAATGTTGAACATTCCACGCCATCCTGGGAACTGGCTGAGGTATGTTTGTAAGTCTAAGCATGCCTCTTAGCCCTGCGGAGGCCGAAGGCTTCAGCTGGGGGCAGGGGGCTTGGCCCGAGGTCTTCTGCTCCACTTGCATTGCCAGGATAAAGTAAGGGGAGCCAGGAGGAGGGATGAAGGAGCCCTCCTGCTTCCTTCTGCCTCTTAGGAGTGCAGCCAGGCTGCTGCCAAGTCAGCCTGCACCATCCTTTGCTCTGGCTCCCTGTATTTGCCCTTTAGGCACAGGTGAAGGTTAGACTAACTGACTTTGTGTGATGGAGCCCTTCAGGATTGGGCTGTACAGAGGCCAGAAATCGCCTCCCCTCACTTCTAACATCACAACAGAACCACTCCATATAGCACTGAGACTGCAAACTGGGGGATAGGAGCTACAAAGAGACATTTCCATCTGCTCCCCCTTCCTGTCCTTTACCTCAAAAAATGCATCCCTTACCAGGTAGTAGTGCTCTCTCTGAACCTGAAAGTTCTGTGATCAGGGACTTCAATGGATCACCCATTCTCTGGCCACTGACAATGCTTTCCCTTTTAAGTCCCACAATTCATTTTGTTGCAGCAATACATTGAAAAGCTCTGGGCCAACAGGTTTGATGGCTGCAAAGAACCAAAGATGGCACCTCCTGAATCTGGTAAGACATGCTCAGTGAAGGCTGGCCAGCAGTCTCTTCGTTGTGAACCACTTTGCTGTAGCATGCTGGGAAGAAGGCCAAGGCAGTTTTGGGGTGGGGGGAACTAGCTATCCTTGCTGCTCCCCTCCTATTTCCTCATCCCCCACTTTGAAGTGTATTTTATTTGACCAGGAAACGCCTTCTCTGCACCTTCCTTGTTGAACCAATAGCATTTATTCCCTGTGGATGTTCAAAAGCTGAAGGAGAAGATTCATGTGGCTTCTTTTTCTGTGGCCTGTCTCCTAGCGCCAGGGTTGGAGATAGTGAGAGCGGCTAGAAAGCAACAGAAGAGACCATTTCATATATCCACAATCAGTTATTTTGAAATCAGAGTCGCCCAAGGTCAGATCTCTTGAGCTGGGAGCATTGGTGCTGCTTCCTGGGCCATTAGTTGACTTAGGGGTGGTGTACAAAGAGTCTTGTCCAGCCTTACCCAACTTGGTGTCCTCTAGGTGTTTGGGCTACAACTCCCATTGATGGCCATAGTGATTGGGGATTGTGGGACCTAGATGGTACTTGGAGGGTATCAGGTTGGGGACAGTTGGTGGTGGTTGGTTTTACGTTCTGAATTCCCATCTTTGAATTCCCGATTCCACTGTCCATCCAGTGTACTAAAATGACTCTTCCCTGCTGAATGAAAATCTAGTGCAAGTTGTACTCTCAGCAACCACTGTCCTTTTCTATACATTCATTTACTGTGTCATAAAAGCACCATTCTTTGAGGGGTGTTATTCATACACATTGAAAACCTTTTCCTGTTCCTTTTAAGAGCATAAGAAAAGCCTGCTGGATCAGGCCAATGGCCCATCTAGTTGAGCATCCTGGTCTCACAATGGCCAACCAGATGGCTGTGGGAATCCTGCAAGCAGGACCTGAGAACAAGAGCACTCTTCCCCACTCCTTCCAGCAACTGGTATTCAAAAGTGCTACTGTCTCTGACCATGGAGGCAGAGCAGCAGTATGGCTTGTAGCCATCAATAGCATTCTCTTCCATGAATTGGCTAACCTTCTTTAAAGTCATCTAAGTGGGTGGCCTTCACTGCCTTGTGAGTTCCATTGTGGTTCAAGTCACATCCAGTTTGGCCCCCAGATAACAAGGCTCTTCTTAATGAAAGCCATGTGTGAGCCTGAAGGCTTGCTCCAAAAAGAGCAAGATCAAAGTCTGCCCAGTTGACAATGAATTGGTTGTATCTGGCTCATGAGCATTGATGGCTGGCTAGCCTTCATTCAATAGCATGTGACTTTTTCCTCTCTCACACTGAATTGGGTAGGATTTAGTGGGGGTTTTTTTGCCCCTTTTCTTCCTTTGGGGCCAGCAGAACCAGTTACCTGTGTGCTGATCCAAAGCTCCTGTAGGTATTGCTGCAACAGAACAAAAAGACGAGTTATTCAAGGGCTATGGGGAAGGTGATTGTTAACCCTAAGGGGATTTAGGTGCATGTGATGATACTTACACAGTGTTGTAAGGCATGGGCTTTGGTCCATATCTACTCAAACTTGGGTTCTGGTTGAGGCAATACTAGCATGAAACAGGGGAGAAAGATGATGCTTTAAGTTTTGAACTGAATCTTAAATCCAAGGTATGTGGGGGTGGAGTGCAGAACCTAACACAAAATATTGCAGTGTAGAGTGCATCTGTTCAGAGTACCAGCCACATCCTCTCTGGGGATGCTCTTATTTCATTTTATTCCCTTCCCTACTCAGTTATCCATTCCCCCCACAACAGACCCTGTGGACTGGGCACCCTGGTTGCGAATGTGCCCTTCTTAGAAAGGTTAGAACCGAGAATCTTTTCCAGCCTGAGGACCACATTCTCTAGGGAGCAACCCTCTGGGGGCCTGTATGCCAGTAGGGCCAGAGGCAGCAAGGGGCCAGAGGCAACAGTTGTGACTCTTAACCAGGCATAGGCAAACTTGGCCCTCCCGTTGTTTTGGGACTGCAACTACCATGATCACTAGCTAACAGGACCAGTGGTTCAGGGATGATGGGAGTTGTAGTCTCAAAACATCTGGGAGGCCAAGTTTGCCTATGCCTGCTCTTAACCTTTGCCCAGCAGGGCTTTCTGCCAGCCACACAAACTGAGGTTTCTTTCTACACACACACTGCACTTCTCCCCGCCCCCATCTCTCCATGCTGCTTCCAAGCTAACAAAATTCATTTTCAGAGATTCAAGGATGCTTTCCAGCCAGGAAACGACCTGAGAAAGGGGCAGTGAGACACATAGCTTGCAGAGAATCCCAGGGGCCAGAGAGAGGCAAAGGGGGCCGCATTCAGTCCCTGGTCCTGAGGTCCTTACCCCAGGTTCAGAAATTCTCTCCAGGGCATCCAGATAAAAGCTGCTTCAGCCACTACCTCCCACTCCTCACCCCAAACATGCACACTAGCGAACAACAGTCTCTTACCCGCCAGGTCTGCGTGACGTCAGGTTTTAAGTACCTCACGGCATAACAGCTGAACCCAAGAACTGTGAAAGAAGCACAGAGGGCTTAATCTCCTGGTCTGCTTTGCCAGCTGTGGCTGATGCAGCTAAGTAGCCACAACTGCTTCCGGCGTGTTCCTATGCGCAGGGCAGGCCCAGAGGGAAAGCTGGGAATGGCAGGGATTTGGCAAGGCTTGCTGTGCAAAAAGCAAGTGCCCCAACTCCTTCCTTCTGCACTGAGTGGATTCAGAATGAGAAAGTAAAGGAAGGTCAGGAGGGAGGCCAGAGTCAGTCCATGCAATGCTGGGGATTGCTTTGGGATTCCTGCATTTGACAAAGCTCCCCATTCAGGAAAGGAACTTCACACTTCGCCACTCATAGGAAACCATTTGGGCTGTTAGTAGCATGTCTCTGTGGCCAAGCATTGCCCGGGGCTGATGGGAGTTGTGGTGCAAAACTTCCGGAGGGCACCAGGTTGGGGATGGCTAATCCTAATCATTTCCACTAAGTGTTGCTGAAAGACACCAGGGATTGGTGCAAAGACCCTCGTAGTTCTTCTGCCTTCTAGTTCACAGAACCTTCTTTCTAATCACTCCTGGCTTGGGAACATTTTTTCATGACCGTTCTATGACCTGGCAAAATCACCATGTGGACAAAGCAAGATCATGGCAAGACCACAGGCTGGGAAGCACCTGGAGGAGTTTTAGGGGTTGATCCGAGACCTTGCCATGTACTTGACACCTCCAAAGGCCACTCCCTGGGGAAGCTCTCACTTTGAGGAGCTGATCAGGCCAGCAAATGGCTGTGGTGCAACTTCCTGAAAGACCGAAGGATGCTGAAGGCAGCTGTACCTCCTACCTTTTTTGCTAAAGTTGGGCACCTTGAACTCTCCTGCACTGGAGACAAAGCGAGACCAGTCGTCCATAGCCCTGGTGTAGCTGGGCCATTCTTCCTGGTTGGTGCTGGGCAAGAGAGGCGCCATCTTCCCTGCTCGGTACTTTTCAGTCAATGACTTGCCCAGCTCCGTCATACCCTGAGCAACGACAAAGTTACTACAAGGCGCTCCTGCAGTCGGACACAGCAGAGCACAGAAGAGTTTCCTGCTTTCAGTTTAGGGATCACATGTGGTGATGCCCTCCTCAATTTCTGAGGAGGAAATGTGTGCAGATCAGCTTCCCTCAGCCTGGTGGTCTCCAGCAGTTTTGGCCTACAAATCCCATAGGGGCTGGTGGGAGTTACAGACAGTCCAAAACAGCCAGAGGGCACCAGGTTGGGAAAGGCTGGCACAGAGCACGCAATGGGCAGTGGCACCAGGCAGATGGGCATCTGTGCCACTTACCCCATGCAACCACCTCAGGCTTTGGGAGAGATGGTTAAGTGCAGCTGCATGTTTCTAGGAAGCATGTATGAACACACACTTTTTTCTGCATTGAAATTGCATGTTCAGAATGCACTGATGTCTCCAAGGAGTAAGTATGACTTTTAGAAGACATCTGAAGGCAGCCCTGTATCGGGAGGTTTTTAATGTTTGATGTTTTAGTATGTTTTGATATACGCTGTGAGCCGCCCAGAGTGGCTGGGGAAGCCCTGCCAGATGGGTGGGATATAAACAATAAAATAATAATAATAATAATAATAATAATAATAATAATTAATAATTGTTATTATTATTATTTATTATTATTTAAAGCCTCCTATCCTCCTTCCCCCAAACACACACCTGGATGCAGAGAAGTTGCTTCCTATATAGAAGCAGCAGCTCATCCAGGCTCTATGGAACTCACTTCCACAGGAGGCTGGAATGGTCACTGACTTAGATGACTTTAAAAGAGGATTAAGACTAATTCATGGAGGGAAAGGGCTATGAATGGCTACTAGAATAGCCATGATGTCTGCCTCCACAGCTGAAGGAAGCAATGCTTCTGAAGTTGCTGGAAATCACAGGAGAGGAGTGTTCCTATGCTCATGTTCCGCTCACTGGTTTCCCATAGGCATCTGGTTGGCCACCGTGATCCAGCTGAAGGCTCTTCTTATGATCTTAAGTTTTGTGCTTTGCTCAAAAAAGCAAATGGGGTGGGGATGGGCGTAATGCACAGGCCACTGAAGGGGCGGCCAGTTAAGGTGATCGGATGTAAAACTGTAGAGGGCTCCTGCACCTTTCATAGTTGTGTGGAAGAGGGAATTGCAGCAGGTGAAGTATGCCATGCAAGCAGCATCTGCTGGAATCCCTCCTTGATCCAACTATGAGAACTTTAGGAGTCCTCTCCCTCACCTGGCCACCCAACACTCTGCAGAGATGGATGGACCACAGGATGACAGCGACAGCAACAACAGCAGCAGCATTTGATGGAAGTGACTCACCAGGGATGGGAGGCGCTGGGTGGGCACTCCAGCCAAAGTGAACGTTGCATTTTCAAAATCATCTTGGGGGGAGGGGAAACAAACACAAACAAGATGAGTCAGAGATGTCAAGATTACCTGCCCCATCCCAGCTGGCCAAGGGCCCTGCCTCTCTAAAAATGTCAAGTGAATTGCAGAACGTGCCACTACACCAGAATCCTGGTTTTGGTTTTATAATACAGTATGCAAGTTTCTGGTCCTCATCACCTTGATGCATAGGTGGACTGAAGGGGAAAGAGAACAGCCCCTGAGGTTTCTAAGTGGATCTGGACCTGAGGTGCCTGCCACTCACTGCCTCCTGTGCTTCTCGCCTGCCACCACCTCCATCTCCTCCCTCCAGTGCGGCTGCATCCTCCTACCACCTGCTTCTCTCCAGCCTCTTCCCTCTCCTCCTCTGCCACCTTCAGCATGCCAGGGCTTCCGCAGTCTGCTTCCAGATGGTGGCAGCAGCAGAAGTTTTTTGCCGCAAGTGGTGAAACATCCTGGGCCAGCCCTGTACTCACACAACACCACAAGCAGAACAAACTCGGGTCTGGAGTTCAATGCTCAGTCCCCACCCTGGCTTGGCTCTCAATACCAATGAGCCATCTGCCCCAGTTACCTTTGCAGCAAGTGGTGGTTGTCCTGCAATGCTCGTCTGTGAGCTTGAAGGCCGCGGTGTCCATATCCATCTGCCTTAGCGTCGGCAAGCGGGGGTGATAGATGTGATGCTTCACTCCAGACAGCATGACTTTTCTGGGCTCCAGCGGGATGAGGGCCGCCGGAGAGGCGTAGACAGGAGGAGCATCTTGAGGACAGAGGGTCAAATCCAGCATTTGGGCCATTGCTGCAAAATTAGCCAGAGGAAAGGGAAAGGGGAGTTACCACCTTGCCCATGCTGTCTTCCGGGCAAGTGAAGGCACCCTCCATCCCTCCAGCAGAAACTCTTCCTTGAACTGGAGTTATCTTTGAGCTCACTGTTTGAAGGAGTGGCCTCCTCTTACCAGTGGAAAATGTGGGGGGCAATATTTTTATTCACCAAAATGTCTTGGGCCAGCCCTGGGCATTCTTCTGAGCAAAGGGCATGCATAAGACTGGTTTGCAAAGGTCCTCAGGCTGGGATGTGAGCCATCAAGCTCCCAGAGGACACTGAACACTAGGAGGGTCACAAAAGTCTTCTGACTTGTTCATAATCCCTTCCCCTTCCATGCAAAATTATGAAGAAGAAGAATTTTCCAGGACTTAGAAATGGTTTGAATGCATAACTGCTGTGATCGGGCCACTGGAATTCACGCAGATCAGGGGTGACTGACCTTCCAGCCCAGGGATCTGATCAAGCACATTTTTCTGGTTCCCCTAAGACCCAGTAGCAAATCTTGAGGTCTCAGATCTTGCTTTCCATTCTATGCAATAGTTGCAGAGCCCCCTGCAGTGCCCCCGAGGCTCCGAGCCCAGTGTAACCAAACAGGTCATGTTCCCCTAAATCTGCCTCTGGAAGACCCCACCAATTTTGGCAGTCATTGTACAATGGATTTAAAAAATAATAATTAACAGCGTTGGTGTCGGCAGAGAGCTTGAAACCTGGTTAGCAGCTATGGACTATGTCTTCTATCAGCCAGTAGGGTTTAAAGGCACTTAGGCTTCTGGGAATTGTCATCTAGAACTGCTGGGCGGCACCATGTTGGAGAAAGCTAGTTTAAATTAAGTTATGTTTCCAAGCTGGGATGTAACAGAGACCTGTGATGAGCCTAAACCAAAAGTGTCTGATTTCCATCTTCTCTGACATGCACAAAGAGAGGGGAGCATGTGAATGTGAGCCTATAGCTTCCCATGGTTCATGGAATGCTGACATCCAAACTGATCCTGTGCTTGCTGTGTCTCAGAGCAGCAGAAGGAACAGAGGTGCAAAGTGCTGTATAGAAATGCTGGAGGTTGCTGGGGGAGGAAGTTCCTCAGGAAACAAAAGAGCTGCCTTAGGAGTGAACTTCCTCTCTACGTTTGCAAGGACTGTAGCGGCTGCAGCTTCCCAGCTCACAGGGACACACGCAAGCAACATGTGTCTTTTATCAAATGTGTCAGAACAAGCAGGGCTCTGCAGGTCCCATTTCCTGCTTCCTGTGGAAGGAATTCAAGGCAGCCTTCAAAAGCAGCATAGAAAATGTCTTTCCTCCGACTCCATTCACTCAGGACCTGCCAGGCGGCTGTCACAGTTGCAGGATTTGCAGCTCTGCATCACTCTTCCATCCCCGCCTCACAACTGCTATTGTGCTGCCCTTTCTATTGAATTATCATCCTTCCCCACCCCCAATCTGGCAGGCCTACCAGTATTTAAGCAGGCTTATTGATTGCCGATAGACTTGCTTCAAAGAGAGTCTCCTGTGCAATGCTAAGCAAGTGCCTCCTCTGTCTTTCACAGAGTTCCAGCGACGAAAAAGCCCCCACGGGGCCTGCCTCAGGGCTGGAGGGCAGGCAGTATGGCACACACAGCTCTGCCTTTCAGACCATGTCACTGCCACTCTGTCTGCCCCCTGAGGCACCTGCCTCGCTCTCCCTAAAGATGGGGGTGAGCTGGCAACCAGAGTGGTTTAGGGAGAAAGCCACTGAGCTCTAGAAGATGAAGATTCCTCCTGGCAGCAGTGCCAGTCTCCTTCAGGCGCCTTCTAAGACATCCTGCCCATGGCTCATGGAGGGCAGTCTTTTGTCTGAAGGACTCTCTGACCCAAGTCTGGTTGAAGATCAAGAGCCCTTGGAAGGGAGCAGTGTGGGGGTTTTCCACCAGCAGCTAGGACCCCCACCGCAAACTGAGTGGACACAGAGGACTCCTTGTCTTCCCCCACACCAAAAGATGCATTTTTATTCAACTTACAGCATTTATTTCTAAATTTGCTTCTATGCATGTCAATTAGCAAATGCAAATATAATGCAAACCTGTCTCTTCTTTGCATGAGGGGCCGCTGAAGCAACCTCACACCCGCAAGTCCGCAAGAAAAGGGAAAGGAATACCTCATCCAAGGGGAGACCTGCTTTCTTCTCTCAACTTGTTTCCCGTTGCAGGGCTGAGGGCTCACTTGCCCCTCCAGACATTCTTTGTATTGACCCCCAATTCTCCATGGCAACGGGAAGCCAATACCCCAAGGAACAGTTGGGTGATGAGGGCAAGGTTGCTAGGTGACTAGAGCGATGTCACTGGAGTTACCTGGTAACGGGTGATCTCCCCCATTCACCAGGGCTAAAAGAAGGAAGCGTCGTGGCTGAGGTTGTAGTATCTGCTGTGGCCACTAGCCGGCCTGTGCAGGAAAAGGCCAAGGAGAAGTTTTTAGACAAAAACACCCACCCACCCTCTGTGCTGGTCCAGGAGGAAAGGAATCAAGAAAAGAATTGAAAATAAAACTGCCAACGTAATAATGCCATTAGAAAAACCTATGATGTGACCACTTTTGGAATACTGTGTACAGTTCTGGTCAGCTTACCGCAAAAAGGATGTTGTAGAGTTGAAAAAGGTTCAGAAAAGGGCAGCCAAAACGATCAGGTGGATGGGGCGACTCCCCTATGAGGAAAGGCTGCAGCATTGGGGACTTTTTAGTTTATAAAGTTAAACATGGCATGAAGAAAGTGGGTGGAACTCGTGGGTGGCTGGTAAAGCTGGCTGTTGGAAGATTCAGGACACAGTGCATAGTTAAACTGTGGAACTCACTCCCACAGGAGGCAGTGATGGCCACTGAAGTAGATGGATTAAAAGAGGATTAGACAAATTCATGGAGGAGAGGGCTTTCGGCAATTGCCACCCATGACAGCTGTGCTCAGCCGCCATGGTTGGAAGCAGCAATGCTTCTGAATACCACTTGGTGGAAACTATGTGAGGGGAAATGCTTTTGTGCCCAAATCCTGCTTTGCAGGTTTCCCATCCATCTGGCCGCTCTGAGAACAGGATGCTGGACTAGATGGGCCATTGGCCTCATCCAGAAGGCTCTTCTTACATCCTTAAGGGCTATAGCAGTTCAACGTTTCAATCCCCAATTGATTTAGTGCACCCTTCTTTGTTGTTATGTAGGAGGCTGGGCAGTCAGAAATTGCTGCCTGGTGTCCACTTCCTACCCACAAACAGCAATAGAGAAAGCACATCAGCCTCCACCAGCTCAGTGGTGGTTGGTATCCAACAGGACTGGTGGGGCAGAAGGCAAGGAGACGAACAGCAGGGGGCACCAGAGCCAATGACAGGCAAAGCCAGAGTGAATGACAGGCAGCAAACTAATTCTGACATTGCCCCCAATCCCCTCCCTGATTAGCTCTGATTAGGGAGGAAGAAGCTGACAGTCAGGGTTACCCCCTGGAGTGGTTGTAAGAAGGCAGGCAAGTGGGGACTGGCTGAGGGCTGACAGAAGACAGTTGTTATTATTGGTAGTAGTAGTAGTAGTAGTCGTAGTAGTAGTACCCCACCCATCTGACTGGGTTGCCCCAGCCACTCCGGGAAGCTTTCAACAAATATAAAAGCATAATAAAACTAGCAGGTGCCCTGCTAGTCCCAATGGACCAGCCTCCACCACACCAGACAGGAGGGCTCTGGCCTTCTGGTGCCTCCTTTTCACCTTCTCCCATCTCTACCAATCCCAGAGTGATTGCCTGCCCGCCAGCACAGCATGATGGAAGTTGTAGTGCAACCACATTTGGAGGGCACTACATTGGCGAAGTCTAACTTAGGGGTTTAGTCAGCGGTCAGCAAACTGTTTCAGCAGGGGGCCGGTCCACTGTCCCTCAGACCTTGTGGAGAGCCGGACTATATTTATTGGGGGGAGGAATGAACGAATTCCTATGCCCCACAAAAAACCCAGAGATGCATTTTAAATAAAAGGGCACATTCTACTCATGTAAAAACATGTTGATTCCTGGACCGTCTGCGGGCCGGATTGAGAATGTGATTGAGCCGGATCTGGCCCCTGGGCCTTAGTTTGCCTACCCATTAAGTGGATGAAAAATCAGCACAAATACCCTTTACAATAGCAGTGACAGCACATAAATAGATTTATGTTTAACTCTAAGCCACAACAAAACAAGGGATATTCAGAGCTAAGGTACAATTTTAGTCCTTAGTTTTCTGAGGGCCAACGCAGATAAGGGAAAACACAGTGTAATAACATTTTGTTTGTTCTAAAAAATTGTCCTCTTCTTTGGCGATCATTCATAGCTGGGTAAGATTGTCTTCCATGACCACGGTCTTAACAGTGAGTCCATAAGTGACTGTGGAGGCCAATTCTGGATCCACATGTCCTTCCATAGTGGGGACATAGGTTTCTGGGTAGGAGTTGATCATGGTGAAGGTTTGCCAAATGTGCCTTCCTCTTAGCATGTTTTCCCTTTCGTCCTGAGTGTGAGTGTCTTCAAAGCCCATGACACCTTTGGTAAAGGCTGTTCTCCCATTGGAGCGCTCGCAGGCCATTGTTTCCCAGTTCTCGGTGTTGGTTACTCATATGGCTGATCTCAGCAACCCTGAATAACTCTGGAACAGCTGATGAAGGGGGAGGAGGGAGAAATTCTACTAATCCAGCACAACTTGTTGGTGAATGCTAGACAGCGATCAGCAAACTTTTTCAGCAGGGGGCCAGTCCACTGTCCCTCAGACCTTGTGGGGGGCTGGACTATATTTTGAAAAAAAATGAACGAATTCCTATGCCCCACAAATAACCCAGAGATGCATTTTAAATAAAAGGACACATACTACTCATGTAAAAACATGTGGGCCAGATCTAGAAGGTGATTGGGCCAGATCTGGCCCCATGGCCTTGGTTTGCCTACCCATGTGCTAGAGCAATAGTTTCCTAGCAACCAAGGTGTTAGCTGGGGAAAGGACATTTGGATGATCCAGGAAGAGACTTGCTACTACGGAATAACGTCATCTACACCATTCTTCCACATATGAGCAAGCCTGGTAAGGAGCAGGCCTATTCAAAGAGATTAGGGGCAGTAGAAAATCCTGTTAGCAGCACAGAGTCAGTGGGAAAGGGATCATCCTTTAATTGACAGCATCTGCAATGACACAATTAACTTGACTGGCCTCTGGCTCCCACAGATCGGTCCTGAAGATTGAGAACCCACTCCATCTGCTTTTGGCAGTGATGTGTGAATGTTCAGTATACGCTTTGTCCAATGCTAGTAAGCCGTGAATGAGTCATATATGGAGCTTTGCCTGCAAAAGTATGAATGTGGCTACATAAACATTAGCATCTTGGACTGCAGCGAAATCATTCCCAGTCCCCCACTGGGGGCTTCAAGTCACATTTGTACATTGCGGTGCACACCAAAGAGATGTCTTCGCCTGATGCCCATTACCTGAGTTGTTTCCCTGCAAATGCAGCACCCCCTCATCCGAACAACAACTTCCATTTTCAAATGGGATGGAAGCAGGTGTGAGGGAAAACACTTCAGACTGCAGTATTTCTCAAGAAGCAACAGGATAGGTATGGATTGTGGCCAATGTCATGTGTGCTCACCTTCAAACACCAGCAGTGGGAGTATGCTAGCGTTAGGAGTCAACAGTAATGTGTACACAACCTCTTGCTAGCTAAGCTCTTTCTGCTCCAGGGCAGATGTTCTCTCATTTGGGTGGTGCCTCAGGTTGGGCTGCTTTTCTCTCCTGGTTTTTAGAACAACTCAGCCTCCCTAATCCAATTAGTTTACTGTGTTATCAGCTAATCCCTTTCCCAGCTTCTCAGAGGGTTGCATTGTAGCAGGATAGCCAAGGACCTTGTTCTAACTAGCAGTGACAATAGATGACAAGGGAAGCCTGCAACTCTTTCTGCTCTACCTACCTGCCCTCGGAGGAAGAACCACCCCCGGCATAAGAGGCAACAGGACCATGATGGCATCCACGACTCTTTAGCCTTTCTGCAGGTAATTTCAGTTTTCTGTGGGGTAGACTGAGTGGTTCAAAGTGGTTCTGTAAAGAACTGTGGTAGAGGACCTTCTTAGTATGTCAAATTTTCCTGAGTTAGTCCCCTAGCATCTCCAGGTAGGAGGTGAGGTAACATGTTTGGAAACCCAGAAAGCCACAGTGAGCCAGTTCTAGACAATTGGCAAGATGTTCCTGCAGATAAGGCAGCTTCCTATTGAATTAGAGAGCTAGGAGAGAATTTGCAGTAAGGCTTTGTTGCCTATTGAGGGTGGTATATGCTCAAAATGCTTAATAACTGCCGGCTTGTGTTTGGCTCCCTGTTTTGGCACTGCTTGAATTGTTACTGTTGATGAAGTAAGGTGAGCTTGTTTGGGGAGAGGAGTCATAAAGCCATGTGCGTTTCTTTTTGTTGAAGCCCTGGGATCCATTCAATACATCAAAACAAGTGTTATTTCACACTTTCCAGTGCATTTTCACTTTCCCCTTCACTTTTCTCATCACAAAATGTCTGATCTTCTGGGGGAAGTGGGTTTGTGGAGCAAGATCTCCCCATCAACTCTTATTGTGCAGCTTAAATGTGTGAATTAGAAGCCGCCCAGAAATGCCCACAGACTCCCCCAGTGGTACATTTTTGGGCTTTTTTTTCCTGGCAAGAAGCAGTAATGAAATTCTGCCTTCTGCAGGTGGCAGGATGCTGGGCTGGATTGAGAAAGTCGTACCGCAACCTCCTGTCAGCTCCCCCATCGCTGTAGTAGTGGGGAAAGACACACAGGCTGACCAAATAGCTGTAGAAGCTGGGCCTGTATCTGCAAGGCAGGTAAGTGGACATCTCAAAGGCATGCTGAGGGTGGGGTGGGGGCTTTGTACCAGGGCTCATGAGGCAAGATGGGGAGACTGCCTCAGGTGGCAGTATTCACGGGGGCATCAGATCCTGATGTAGATCTTCCTTCCTCACTCATTTCTTCCCTGGTGGGGATGGGCGGGAGGCGCAATTTTGGCATGCGCCTCAGGTGCCAAAATGTCTTGGGCCAGTCTTGGACCATACTAATTCCATGGACTTTTGACATGTCACATTCCACCCTGGCAAACACAGGCTTGATCTTAAGGGTCAGCAGTGGGAATGGTGTGGTGAGAATGAGGTGAGGATTACTACAGGACAGCTGAAAATGGATCAGCAGCAGAGATGACCACACGTTGGGATGTGGTTTCAAGTGGGAGCTGATGTGCTTTATGAAAACAAGAACAGCAACAACAATTTACAGAACAAAAGTGTTTGGCCACTGGCCATTGCTGAGAAAATAACTCAGAATTGAAAAGTGATAAAAGGAATAGAAAAACACACACAGGACAAATCTTTTACCACGTGGCAATTTATTTAACACACAAATGATAATGGTCTTAAAGAAAAGCTCTGCAGAGCATTGTTGCAGATATGATTAGTGTGAACAGTACGGTCTGAACTACACTCTTTTTTAAAAAATTGTTTGCTATCTGTGACAGATGAGACGATTTATGTGCTGTCCCCTCACATAAGGTTTGGATAATCTGTGTGGGTTGATAAAGAAACAGTTACATTAATGTATAACCTGGTACCTGATGAGAGGTGTGGAAGAGAAGGATTAGAGATGTTATGCTACGTGCTTGTAATACAAAATTATTACATTTATTGTAATAAATGAAAATTATTTAAAGGATAAAATTAAAACGAGCACACAACTGGAGTGTGCTGTGCTCACCTTCTGCACCATTTATAAAATGAGCTTAACTCACCCTGCTTTGGCTTTTCAACCAATCTAATTGTGTACACGAATGCAGCAGGTGGCAGAGTTGAGTCTTCCACAGCATGTAGTGTAGATTGGAGGCTGTGTGTGTTTGGCAGAGATGCTTAGGAGGACGGTCCCTGTTTACAACTGAGAAAATGTTGGCAGGTCTGCAAAGGGTTGAAGAGCTGGTGTTGCTTCCAGGCTACTTTTAGTTTTGTTAAGGCAGCTGCAGATTTTGCAGCAAATGCAATTGTCCAAGGCAGCCTTCCTTCCCCAACGTGGTACACTCCAGAGGTTTCAGACTCTACAACTCTCACCAACCCCAGACAGCACAGCTGTATGATGCTTGGGCTGGTGGAAGTATGGCTTTGCTGGCTGGGGCTAATGGGAGTTGTAGCTTGAAACATCTGGAGGGGACTGGCTGAGCTAATGTGATACACCTGGCTGCAGTGTAATATGCTGCCAGCCCTTAAGACTATGATAAGAGCCTGCTGGATCAGACCAATGGCCCCCCAAGTCTAGTAAGCTGTGCTCACAGTGGCCAATCTTAGGACAGCCCTCCCCTCTCTCATCCCCGAGTCCATCATTTACACGGCAACACAGTGAAAGAAATTACAGAAAGGTGTGTGGAGGGCTTGAGCCCTAGTCCAAAGGCTGATATTTAAGATTAGATGGTCTGCTCATCAAGTAGGCAGAAGAGAACTAACTGGTTGGGCTTGAGCAAGATGCTTCTGGCTGATCTTCTCTGCTACCCTCTGGGTGCTATTTCACTGCCTGAGAGTTGTTCTCTGATTGTGGTTTCTTCTCTCTTGTGAATCCTCAAGCTGACAGAAAGGAGTCCCAGGAGTGTTGCAGAAGGTAAGAATTGGGGGTGATGGGGAGGGGAAAGAAGAGTACATGTGTATAAGTGCTGGAGACAAGGCAGAGTTTGGATTACAAATTCTCAGTGCTCCTTCAGACAGCCTCTTTATTCAGCATTCAGTTTGATTTGCTAGCGCAAAGCTCATGCAGATGTCCTGCCCTTACTGGGTATTCATTCTGATTTGCTTCCAGGGCAGTTATATGACAAGGAGCATTCAGCCTGGTTCACTTGTGGGGTGTTTACGTATTTTCCCATTAATAATTTGCTGACCGCATACTTCAATAAATGTCCCTGGCACTTCCCAAACTGCAAGAAGTCCTGTTTTGTTAGTAGATTTGTCGTGGGAGGGTGATGGAGAGCTCTAATCCACTAGGATGGCACAAAACTATGTTTCTGGTATGCGTTTGAATCCCTCCTGCAAATTACTGACAGGTGACCCACAGGTGGGTTCAGGCAGCTACTGCTTTTGGACGACATCTCTGCAAATGAAGCTGCAACTGCATTGCCTTGTTCGCTTAGAATCTACCTTGGTGGCTTGACTCTGCCTCCAGAAGGCTTGCAAAGTGGGAGGGAGTTAGAATGAGTCTAGGGCACCCAAACTATTTTTTGGGTTGTTACCTTCTCCTTGACCATACACCCCTTCACAATTCTGCACTGTTGGCCATCATAACTACCTGTTGTGACGCCAAGATTTTCAGGTGCATCTTTGAACATTAAAAGTATGGGCAGTGTGCAAGGATGGCAGTAGAGGTGCTGTGGAACCTCAGTGCACATGTCCAAACTTCAAGATCTCTTTTGAAAAGTTGCAAAAATGCAACCCTGTCCCTTAAGGAGGTGTCATGGGGGCATCACCAAAAAGGCTTCTGTGGCTGTAAATGTGATCCAGAGAAATCTTATATGCTCCTGGAAATGCAGGTACTGTAGTACCCAGGGTTAATTTTAGCTTAAAGCTTGGCTTTTCCTCCATTTAGGGTTCAAAGAACATGCTCGTGATTCTGTCTCAACAACAGACAGGTACCTGCCATTCTTTGTTTCTCTCCCTCTTATTTTACACATGTACCATTTCCACCTGGGTTTCTTATTCTGAATTGCAGCTAAAAGTAATAGTAGGGGTAGGAGTCATCTGTCTGAAGCTTTCTAACATACACTGAAAGGCTCCTTTTTGAGGTGGTTTACTCAGAGGATGGTGGCAAACTGTACAAAGTGAGGCCTTCAGGGGTCTCCAGAACTGCCCCCTTGTAGAGATGCGTTGATTTTAGACCCTCAAGTCACCACTTTGGGCAAGATGAGGAGGACTATTAAGGCAGAAGACAAACCAAAGGCAAGTTTCATATCTGCATTACAGGCCAAAATGCCCTAGTATTTGTTACAGAACCATAGTTCCAGGAGCCAGCAGTTAAGATCCACATGCTGAGTTTGTGATCTAGCTATACTCACATATGTTGGGAACTCTAGCATGGGTGAGAAGCCAGATTTGGGAATGATGGGATGGGGAGCCTAATTTCTTTCTCAGCCTTTTCAACACCTGCCCTCCTTCCCATGTGGCAGCTGAATCAAAGGCCCTGCTTTCTGCAATTCAGGGTGTGCTCATCTGAGTAGCACCCTTAAATGACTGGGTGGGTTTGTTTATATGTTTGTGGTGATAATGGGGGGGACCCCATTCCTTGCAGCTAGCTGCCTTCTGGGTGGGGAAAGGTCTTGGCTCTGCTTCTGCTGTTAAGGTCTGGAAGGAAGGAAGCTTCTTTGTCCACCCCAGCCCTCCTCCTCCTCCTTTGCAGCCCTGGCCGAGGAGTCCTCACCTGGATATCTCAGGGCCTGGAGAAGGTGATGCCACAGCCGGCACAGAACTCTCCTGTCATGCTGCAAGCGGCTGCCAAGAGCTTTGAAGCTAGCATTGATATCCCAGATGTGGTGAGTAAGGGTGATCCATTTTGATGGCAGTCTTGCTTTCATCCTGAAATGTTTCCAATGGTGAAATTTATTTTTTTGGTCTGTGTTCAGACAGAAGTCCATAGCATAGAGGAGGAGAAAGAGGAAGAGGAAGAAATAGGTAAAGTGCTTGTGTATGTTTGTGTGTCCCCCGCCTGTGAGTGGGCACTGAAGTGTGTTCCCTGACATGATGTATAGAGGGGTAAAGGTAAAGGTAAAGGGACCCCTGACAGTTAAGTCCAGTCGCAGATGGCTCTGGGGTTGTGGCGCTCATCTTGCTTTACAGGCCAAGGGAGCTGGCATTTGTCCGCAGACAGTTTTCCGGGTCATGTCGCCAGCATGACTAAGCCACTTCTGGCGCAAAGGAACACTGAAACCAGAGCAGCGCACAAAAACGCTGTTTACCTTCCCACCGGAGCAGTACCTATTTATCTACTTGCACTTTTTGGCATGTTCTCAAACTGCTAGGTGGGCAGGAGCTGGGACTGAGCAATGGGAGCTCATCCCTTCGTGGGGATTTGAACCGCCGACCTTCTGATCGGCAGGGCCAAGAGCCTCAGTGGTTTAGACCACAGCGCCACCCACCCCCATAGAGGGGTAAGTTGCCTGTAAATAATTGACCAGCATGAGGGGCCCCCTATTCAATCATAGCTGTGCAGTTTCTCATATCTTTAATACTCCACAGAGTTCCTCTTCTCTGTCTCTCAGGTATTCACAGCAGCTACTGCCATTAAGCCAACGGTTTCACTCAAAGAATCCTCCTTAAACTGGACACTATACTCTGGGTAGGATTGCAGCAACAGGAAAGGGAATGTTTAATCACCCCCCCCCCACTGAATGTCATGATGAATGTCTTCCCCTAACATTAAGGACCAGGGAAAGGGGGACTTATTATTTTTAATTTTGCTTTACTTGTTTCTATACTAAGATGCAAATAAAAATATATCTATGCAGTGTACAAACATAATTTAAAACCAATAGCAACAACAACAAAACACAGCACAATACATTGAGGGAAGAGAAGTGCAAAATGATAGGAAGGTTATAGAAATGATAATCTGGCCCTTTCAGCAGACGGTGAGAAAGCACCGTATTTTTTGCTGTATAAGACTCACTTTTTCCCTCCTAAAAAGTAAGGGGAAATGTGTGTACGCCTTATGGAGCGAATGCAGGCTGCGCAGCTATCCCAGAAACCAGAACAGCAAGAGGGATTGCTGGTTTCACTGTGCAGCGATCCCTCTTGCTGTTCTGGCTTCTGAGATTCAGAATATTTTTTTTCTTGTTTTCCTCCTCCGAAAACTAGGTGCGTCTTGTGGTCTGGTGCGTCTTATAGAGCGAAAAATACGGTATCTTCTTTTCCAATCCCCTGTTCTCTCTCTCATTTCTCCTACTTCCACCAGTGTCTGTGATTGATGAAGAAGAGGAGCAGAATGAACTGTACTACAGCTCAGACAACAACGCCCCAGATAAAATGTAAGTTTTCCCAAACCCACCAGATATTTTGAACTTCGCCTGTGCTTGAATCCTAAAAAAACATTATATAGAAGTAGAAATTTCAAGGTGGAGAGTCTGAAGATGAAGCTTCTTAGTAGGAACCCCTCCCTGAAGGAGCAGTTTGGAACGCCGTTTATGCACCTTTAGCTATGCTGCCACTTTGCTGGGAATGCACAGAAATGCTCTATGATCTTAATCTATGTACTAACTAGCACTTGTGCAATGTTTGACTGCAATTTCCCACAGGAACAGGATGAAGGGAACCACAGGGGGGAATCTTCTTTGTGTATTCCTTTTAGTTCTATAATGTGGACACACACACAAACACACTCTCTCTAAATGTGTCTTGCTGTAGCTGTGATGATAGTTTTATTGTGGACTAGTAAGATGAACAATCGTAATAATGTGTTCCTTTTCTCTTTATCTCTTTCTTTGAAGTGGTGGGAAAAAAGTGATCACTTGGATTTGGGAAGGATTTGGGAAAATGATGCCTCAACCTGAAAACACGAAAAAGACGGAGGTAAGTACAGACAAGGCAGAGAACCAATAGGAAAACAAATAAAAGGCAAGTGTTATTTCATTTAAACAAAATTCATGGAGGCTGCAAAATAATACTTTGCTGGGACCACCCAAGGCTCACAAGGTGGTGTGTGAGATTTTGGCGTACACAAAATTCTTCCTCTGGTTGGTGTGTGTGAGAGAGTGGGTTTAAAAAAAAAAAAAGAATATAATGAAGTTTGCTTTCAGTTGCTTGGGCTCCACAAAATAATTAAGCTGGGCTGAATTGCTGCAGAAGCTCCCAAAAGCTGTAGAATTCATTCATTCATTTGAATTTCTACCTATAGGTTTTAAATTTTATAGGGAGGCTCTCCTGGTATCTTCATTACATATCTTTAGATGCCAGGCAAAAACATTTCTCCATAACAAGGTTTTTGCCTGATAAACATTCAATGGACTTTCAAACGTGTTTGTGGGAAGGTGGCTATTGGCTTGTTTTTGTTTTATGTATTTGGGGTTCTCATTTTGTCTTTTTACGTTGTGAACTGCCCTGTGATCTTTGGATGAAGGATGCTTTTCTCTGAACTGCAGGCTCCTCCCTGCCTGCCACTTGCTGCCTTTTTCTACTACTTTGCAAAAGCCTGTGAGGGAGCAGAGCTGGCATTCATAATACAGGTTCCTCTTTTTGCTTTCTCTCCATTTGTGCTACCAGGTAGGGACCCCAGGAGACCAAGCTGCACAACGGGGTGAGTGACTGGCCTTGGGGTGCCCTAGTGATTTGGCTGCAGGCTCTTGCAGGAAGGATGCTAACTTCATTCTCCAACTCTCCCCCTCTCACCCCCTCACAGCACAGAAAGGGAGTTTACCTGCCAGCCCTCTCAGTGAACCAGGGACGAAGCACCGGGCCTCAACTGACAGCCTGTCCACTCGGAGCCTCTCTCTCTTTCCTCGAACACTTGGCGGTGATGGGACCAGGTCAGTGTGCAGAGCAGCCTTGCTTGGCCAGTTGGATCCAGCAATTCAGGTGCTTCTAAATGCTTTGCACGGCATTGGAGAACAGCAACCGGATATTATGTGAAGCTGAAGGTTTGAAAATTCAGGGCAGATAAAAGAAAGTGCTTCTTCACACACCACACAGTTAAACTATGGAACTCACTTCCACAGGGGGCAGTGATGGCCACCAGTTTGGATGGCTTTAAATTCATGGAGGATAAAGCTACTTATTTACTGTCAGAGACAGTATATCTTTCTGAATACCAGTTGCTGGAAACCCAGGAGAGTGCCTGTGTGCTCGTGTCCTGCTTGAGGGTTTCTCACAGGCATCTGATGGACCAATGTGAGATCAGGATGCTGGACTAGACGGGCCATTGGTCTCATCCAGCAGACTCATCTTATGATCTTATGTTTCGGCTTTGTCGGGTCACCTCACTGAAGAAGAGAAGACTTCTTGACTGAGGCCCTGAGATTCTGGACTTGGATGTGGCTCCTACTGGCTGAGTGTCAGATGACACATTCCTCGGAGGTGTTGGGTCTGTTGCAAGGGCTCTTCAGAGAGCTGTTGGTCCCCCCACAAACTGTGAGTGTGGTTCTAATAAGGATCTTCTTCTGACCAACAGTGTTATTGACTGGTTTGTTCAAGGACTGGAGAAAGTGATGCCACAGCCTGTGACCAAAGGGAAGGAAGATGGACAGGTGAGGAAGGGTCTATTGGGTACCCTTTTTAATGTTCTGTGGTGGACCAGTTTCTTCTTTTGCTGCTCCAGTGCTGTGTCCCAAATCATTCTGGGTAGGTAAAATGAAATAGGGGTGGAATTAAATTCAACGGTGATCTGAGTTACTGAGCAGGATATCAATTTTGGAGATTACATTAATTTAGGATGACTTTTTATAGAGATGATTTAGGGGGTAATGGGTTCTCCCCCTCCCAATTTTACCCTCTTAATCACTTGTGAGGTAGATTATGCTGAGAGGTGGTGACTGCCCCAAGGTCACCCAGTGAGCTTTACAACTGAGTGGAGCTTTCAGCCCTGGTCTCTCAAGGTTGTAGTCTGACACACTACACCACACTTGAGAGAGGATGGTTTTGAACCTCTTTTAGGAGCTGATGGAGCAGGCAGATACAAGAGAGCAGAACCTGCCCCTTGATGTCACACTTCGTTTTCTCTTCCCAACAGAGTGCAGAAGTTGCAGACCTGGGCCCAGGACAAGCAAGTAAGTCATAATGAGTCATTTCCCATGATGCTGTTCAGGAGGCAGCTTTTCTTAGCCATTTCTTCTCAGAGGGTTGGTCACAGGTGGGCTTCTACCCCTCAGATCCAAGCAGCTTCATTTATGATGTACCTTAAGATAGCTTGGGGTGGGCATTTAAACTTGCCTTTGCAGATAGCAGAGGGAATGAAATTAAGAAGTTCCTTTGAATGCTCCCTTATTATGTGTGAGGCAGATCTTTGCCAGCCTGGTTCCCGCTGGATGTTTTGGGCCACATCTTTCCATCCTACCCAGCACCATACAGCCATGCCCTCTGTGGGAATGTTCAGGGTGGCAGGAGAGGATATACTGTTTATTAATCTCCTTCCTAACTTGCGCTAGCAAGTTCTTTTACTTAGCAGAGTTTACTTTCCCCTTCTCGTGCACAGCAGAAAACTAGCTGAAACTCGTGTGAGTTTAAGACAATACGCAATTCAATCTGGCTTGTCCAGATTGCAATGTGTTCTAATATTTTCCTGGTGAGACGCCTTGAATCCCTCCTAAAAGAATAAAGACACCACAGTCTTATTCATAAGCAATAAAAAGAAAGTTTACTCACAATCAGGCAGAGCACAGTGTGATCCCTGAAGGCAGGCTTTAGGCTTAAAGTTACAAACTTATACAAACAGGTTTATCCAATAAGGGAGATGACCTGAGGGACTGCTTGGCTGGCAGCCAGCAGTTCATTCCAGGAAGTTCACAGGATGAAAAGAAGATGGAAAAGAGAGAGGGTGGCAGCATGCCTTGTCCTTTTGCCAGGTCTGGAAAGGTCACGCCCACCCACTAGTCACATGCAAGGAAGGATGCTCCAGCCCAGGAGGAACAGGAAGTTTCGACTGGCTGGACCAAACATTCCCTTGCTTGTCCACTCTAGCAAAACAAGGAATGTTGTATTTGACTGCTCCCAGTGGATTACACCCCACACCCTCAATGAGTGATGGGAGTTGTAGTTCAAAACAACTAGAGGACACCAGGTTGAAGAAGGCTACTGTAATGACATTTGGTGAGTGCTGAATGAATGTTTCTGAATGGTGCCTTGTATGAGGAAGTTCTGTTAGCATCCTGCGGACTTTGCAGTGGGTGGGTGCCTTTCCATGCTGCTGATAACTGCAGCTCTTGATGTTTGCCGTGGATAATTGTTTGCTCAGCACCTCTCCCAGTTTATTTCTATGACCAGGTTGGAAGGGGGCATGCAATTGTATGGCTTGAATCAAATGTTAGACTACCTCTCCAGCCCTCTGCAGAATGACAAGCCTTCTGTGCTTTGCAGGTCAGGGATTGGAGGATCCAAACCAATTTCAGTGGCTGTTTAGCAAGCGTCCTGTTAATATGATTTTAGCATGTTGCTCACTGGCTTGGGTGCTGAGCTCCAGTGCATTTCTGTGGGCATGGAGAAGGGTAATACCATATATCTATATATAAATTGTTCTCAAGTTTAGGGAACCAAGGGACACAATCTTTGTTGGCCACCTTCCAGGGGCCACATGCTAACGGTGGATGAGGCCAGAGGCAAAACTAGGTGAAAAGTCAGGTTTCTCTACTCCCACACACACACCTCTCCATCCTCTATACAGGCAAACAAGAGGCATTTTCACAGGTCAAGGAAACAAGTGAGTTAGTGAAAAGCACTTGGGAAGGGAGGGTAGCAGAGCCTGGGGAAGGGGGTACAGGTAACCCACCAAGAATTGGAATTTCTCTTAGGCGGGAAGCTGAGGGTTTTTGTTTTGTTTTGCAGCATTTCAAATGGGTTTATGTTCCCAGTGAGGCTGTGAAAACATCAGAGACCTTCTACCCCCCCCCCAGTCCAAACTCTTTCCTTTAACTTCTTCTCCTTTTGTTTCAGGGAGCAAAGGGGCTTAAGTGCCTCTGAAACAAAGGGACACTGAAGATTTGAAGACTTCCTTTTCCAAAAAATGAAACCAACCTGAATTAGTGTGCATAATGCATCAGGAAGAAAAGACTTTGCACGTTTTATTTTATTTTTTCTAAATTAAATAAAGGCTAGCTTTTAAAAGAGCAATCTGAACATGAGGTGGAGGTAGCCTCATTGCTTAGCTGGTCATGAAAGAAAAAGCAATGTCCTATGTGAAAATCATAGGAACATAAAATTGTAGAGTTGGAAGGGACCCGAGGGTCATCTAATCCAACCCCCTGCAAAGCCACAATCTCAACTAAAGCATCCATGACAGATGGCCGTCCAATGTCTGCTTAAAAACTTCCAATGAAGGAGAGTCCACCACCTTCCGTGGGAGTCTGTTCCACTGTCGAACAGCTATTACCACCAGAAAGTTCTTCCTGATGTTTAGTTGGAATCCCCTTTTTTGCAACTTCAGTTCATTGGTTTGGGTCCTACCATCCGGAGCAGGAGAAAATAAGCTTGCTTTATGGGAGGGACCTGACAGTATCCTAATTGTCCAGGTCCAGGACAACATTCCTGATGGAAGAATTTTAACCAAATAGGCTTCACTAGTCAGCAAGAACTGCTCCCATGTTGCCTTCCCCAACTTGGTGCCCTCTAGATGTTTTGGACCACAATGCCCTTCAGCCTCAACCAGTGTGCACACTGTCTGTGGCTGATGGCTGTTGTAGGCCAAGCACCAGGTTGGGGAAGGCAGGACTGGTTGAATCAAAGGTATGAGAAAGGTAAAGGATGGCCACACATTTTGGATTTGGCATTGGGAGGTCAGAGACTTGGACTGGGGAGGACTGTTTTTGATATTTTGTATTCCCCATGTCCTTCATCCACTTTGTTTCTTATCCAGTAGTGTTTCTCCTCCAAAATAGTCAGAAAATAGTTTTTTATTGCATGGCAAAGCCGGGAAATGAGAAAAGCTACAACTCACCCAATATTATTTTTCTTTGAGTAGCTCTCTCAGGTAGACAAAGTATTTCTGTCTCTTCTTCTATCAGGACATTATAGCTTTACTAGTTTGGGGTTTTTTAGATAACCTTTTGGTCTATTTACAAAGCTAAAACTATGATTTAAAACACAATCCAACCATAACATCTTAATTATTATACACAGTGTTAATAGAAACACCACAAAAACCATCAGATTAATATCAAACAGAAGCAGGAGAGGCCAGCCATCTCCTAAGGCTGCTTTCATGCTGGGTGTTTCATGTGAAATTGATTGTTCAAGTCATATTTTATTGGGGCCCAGTGGATGATGTGAACAACAATTTGCAATCAGCCTTTTCCCAACGCTGCTTCCATCTCTTTTCTTTCTTTCTTTCTTTCTTTCTTTCTTTCTTTCTTTCTTTCTTTCTTTCTTTCTTTCTTTCTTTCTTTCTTGCTTACTTACATAGAAAATTGGATGTTTTTAAGAAAGGAAGCCCAGCACAATCTCCACAGGTGTTTATACCCTCGGTCCTACAATCAGAAAAAGTGCAATATCCCTCAAAATCAATTGCAATCCCACCTGGAGCTTACAGCAGAGAAGCAATCAGTGTTTGGATGCTTCTCAGGAGGAAGCAGCCTTAATGGAAGTTTTCACCAGTACTCTGAACTTTGATGAAGAGGTCAATAGAACAGAGAAAGCTACCATGAAAGTTTAAGCTTTCAGCCCCCTACCTAGCAATCTAGATTTTACTTTCAGGACCACACATGTCAATGGTTTCAACATGCACCATGACCTCCCCAGGGATATCTACTAGACTATCCAAACAATCTGTCACAAATTAAAAGCAGAAAAATGCTCCCTTTGTAGATGAGTAACTCAAGACAGTTCATCAAGCCCACATGATGTACATATCACTGACTTTTATACAAAAACCTGGTTTCTCTTTCCGAATTCCAGTTGAATTCCAGACTAGCAACAGGTGAATACTATTGTCCTTCTGAACTTATTAGAAACTACACAAGATATCATTATTTATTAAATTTCTATACCCCCCCCTTAATCCAAAGATCACAGGGTCGTTTACAATATAAAAACACAAAAATACATACCATAACAGGAAACAAAAAACACAAAAAACCCACCAAAAACCCGCCCCCAACAGTATATATTATCCCTCAAGGCATTTAGAGTAGTGCACATGGTTTACCCTTGTGTTCATTTTGTCCTCACAACAACAACCCAATAAGTGGGTTAGGCTGCAAGGGAGTAACTGGCTCACTATGGCCCAGTAAACTTCATGGTCCCTCACAATGAGATTAGTCGCAATTGCCAGCCTCTCTCCCTTTGCCCCCATCTGGTGGGAAGAGCTGCTGCTTATCTTCTTTGCTTGAGGGGTAGGAAGCCTCACGTCCAGGGGCCAAAAGTGCTCTCAAATCCTCTCTCATCCAGTTCATAGGACTCCATTTGTGTGTTTTTACCAGGTTGCAAAATGTCATTGAACAACAATCATGCCTCTTGTCTGTCTGTGTGGAGGATTGAGAGGTGGGTGCAGAAAGAGAGTAGAAACCAGACTGCTATTCGAAGACAAAATTTACACACATTACTGTGTCATCTTTTGCCTCTGTTCTTGTCCACCATTGGCATGTGGGCCCCAGAAGGGAATATGGCCAGCCCTGTTTTACTTATAGAGTCCAGGGCAAATGAAGATGTCTGGTGGCATGTGGGTCTCACTAATGCTACAGTCACTTTTCTCCCGGAATGTAAGTCCACCTTAAAATTACAGGAATATAGCCCATCCCCACCTCAGGCTCCCTCCTTTCACAATCCAAAGCAAAGCAGAAACAAACTCTCTGATCTCCCCACGTGGCTTTATCTGACTGTCCTGCTGGGGACCCAGTAAGCGACATGCCAGGTTCCTCTTCTTCAAGGGGAACAAGGAATGGATTAATCTGCCAGTTTCTGTTTCTCATTTTTCCAGTCTTAAATTCAGTTTGCCACATTTTCACATCAGTTTATGTTTTTTGTTTAGTTTTTAAAGTCATCATGAAAATTAATCAGTGCATTTCTCATATTATATGCCTTCCTCAGTGGAAGCTGGTCCATTAGGACAAATGGGGCACTGCCCCACCAATATCACTCTGCTCTCAGCCAGACCCTACTTGCCAACCTTCTTACTTGCAACTGGTCCAAGGGGTGCTGCCGCCTATCAGCTCCCTCCTCTTTCGTCTCAGTTTTGCCTTTATAGACCTCAGCAGGGAGGAGGAGGGCAAAACTAGAATTAGGTCAGTCTGTCACTGGCTCTGGTGCCACCTACTGTTTGTCTTCCTGCCTTCTACCCTATCAGTCCCAAAGGGCACCAGCTGCCACCACTGACACTCCTGTGGGCAATTTTGCTTAATATTTCTGCAAGCAGTTTCCCCTGCTACATTATTTTCACAAATATACACATTTTTATGCACACTTTGCCCTGAGCTACCCAGTTTTGTATGGATTTTTTCGGTTAGAGATCTATACCTACAAAATTCAGAAAAGTTTGCATTTTAGCTTATGTGTTGTTTCAGCAAATGCTGAGTATGTAGAAACTGAAGCCACCCCGTGTGTGGAACTGCCTGATATCTCAGCAAATGCACATCCCAAATTCATGTTTCATGAGAGAATGCACAGGAGGAGGCGTTGCCAGAGATAGGTGAAGGGAGAGGTGCTTCACTTTTCGCAGTGCCTGGCAATTTTGCCACCCACCCAGCTGCTGACTTCCTTCTGGCTTTGGAGTCCTGCTTGGGGCACAGGGGGTAACTTAAAATTATCTGGGGGTGACGTTTGCCAGAACCAAGCCAGCAACTTGAGAAGTTTTGTGTCTGAAGAGGGCAGAATCGCTGCCTGCTGAAGAGGGACACAATGAATAGTAGCAAGGTGATCCTTGCCACTTAGCATCTGTGCCTATAAATAATTAGATGGATCTTCTTGCCCAGTGGTCCCTAACCTGATGCCTTCACCATTTTATTTCAGTCTGCACCTTTCCCACAAGACAGAGCCATGTGGAATTCTTGATGGAAGACCATGAAATCCAAGAGGAAGCGATGTGTTGGTGTGGCACAGCTGAGTGGACTGTGGGGGCACCTCCCAGCCCCCCAAAGCAGAGGTAGGAAGCCAAAGGAGGGGAATTAGGAAGAAGAATATATGTTGCTGTATAACTTCGTAATTAGGGTTGCCATATTTCAAAAAGTGAAAATCTGGACACAAAAGTTGTTGAGCTGTTTTTGGGGTAAAGTTGTTGAGCTGTTTTTTGGTTGTTGTTTTTTTGCAAAATCTCAAAAAAAGTTTTTGAGCTATTTTAAGGGAATTTGCTGACATGAGTTGCCATACACCAGAGGTTTCCCGGACATGTTAACATTGGTAACAGAATAGAGATGTTAAGGCACTCAGAGGACCTCTCTCTGCCACAAAGGTCCTGAATTCAAACAAAGGCCATGGATTCTTCATTGCCCTTCCTCTAAACATAAAGGCACAGCTTGCTCTGTCTCTGAACTGTGATTTGCTACATTGCTCTGTGGAGAAGACAGCATGTTCAAAGCTCTGCTTTGCTATTTCTTTCAATGTGCAGACCCTCCCTGCAACCGATGAGGGAAAGAGACAGGACTAGTTCAGTATATTTTCTTGAGGCAAAAGATAAAATGGTGCCTCTCCTGTTTCCTACACAAAAGTGAAACAAGGCTTCAGTACTTCATACTTCAGTGCTGGAGACAGGACAGCATCTTCTGCTGTCTCCTCTCAGATGTTGTTGGACTACAACTCCCATCACCCTTATCCACTGGCCATGTTGGTTGCTGTTGATGGGAGCTGGAGTCCAACAGTACCTGGAGGACAGCATGTCCTCAATCCCTCTGTTAAAACATAAACACAAGGGTTTTCATTCACTTGATCCATCCCTTTATGCTCATATAACGTAATGCAGATGGGGTCAGATCGCTCAATCAAAACCTGTCTCTGTGTTCAGAGTTCGCAACCCAAAACTCTGGCCTGTTCCTGAGCACGGAGATCATGGTTGCGTACACATTATAGCTTTAAAGCCCATTCCAAGCACATCCTTTCCCTCAAATAATTATGGGCACTGTAGTTTGCTGGGAATTGTAGCTCTGTGAGGGGTAAGCTACCATCCCCAGAATTATTTCAGGGAAAGAATGTGCTTGGAATGTGCTTTATAGGTACAGAGTGTACACAGCCCATGTCAGTCATGAAATTGACCAGATATTTTTTTCCAAAGGCAGGAAAAGCTGCTGTACCAGATGCATAATTGATAGGAAGGTAGCTTTTCCTTCTTTAGCAGAACTCTGCTAAAAGGCAACTATCAGTGATCAAATTAAAAGGTCAAATTCTGACAGAAGGATACATTTTATTTATTAAATTTATATCCTTTCCTCTGCACAACAACCCTGTAAGGTGGATTAGGTTGACTGGCAGTGAGCTTCATGGCAGAGTGGAGATTTGAACCCTGGTCTCCCCAGTCCTAGCCCAACACTCTAGCTGCTATGCCACACTGCCATTTGTCTCATGATGAATGCTAGATTTATCATGTGTGGACTGGACAATAAAATAATTAGACTTTAAGCAGCCTTAGATCTGCAACAAACTTGAAAGGCTTATTTTTCTGTGCTGCCTCATCAGATGGAGGCTTCTATTAGCAAAGTACATTCAAGGGCTTGCCTATTATGTGTGGTGCCTAGTAACCAGGCTGTGACCCGTTTTCCTCCCTGGCAACTGCTCAGCTTCTCCTAGCAACAGCATCCCTTTGGTCCCTCAATGTTCCTCTGTTGAAGCAGGGAGGGGGGATATCTTAGGGAGCGGGCTATGACAGCTCAGTCTAGTTAACAGGAAATAGGATCTGCATCTAAACTGAAGGCAAAGCAGACACAGGAAAGAGTCAAAAGTCTCAATCTTGGAGCGGTTGCCGATTATTTGAAAAATACATTCATTAAGAGAAGGCTTTCAAGATTAGCAGAGCATCACAGGGCTGAGTATAAGCATGGCTTGATGTGCTATACGCTCAGGGGAAACATGGTTTGAAAAGGTGAGTTTGGGGTTTGTTTTTTTCTTTTGCAAAATATTTCTGAGGGGTCCAGAGGAAAAAAATGAGGGAATAAGTTAAATATTTTTAGAAAGGTTGCTGTGTTTGCCTCTTGTTGCAAAACCAACAAGGAATCTTTTGGCACCTTAGACGCCAACAAAATTATTATGTCACAAGCTTTCAGTGTACACTACATTCCACTTCATCAGTTGCATGAGGTGTATTGTATTGAGTTGCAGATGCCTCTATACATGCTTGTGGAGGAAAGAATTGCAAACGGTGAATGAGGGATAGTACCTTAATGAACGCAACTGTAAACCTCAGTGTTTTGTTTAAGCAAATTTAATATAATGTGTTTTGTTGGTGCAATCAGACCCTGTGGAAAGGAATGATGCTTTGGCTGAAGAAGTCAGCAGGGTGCTTGTTTTGTTTACTAACAATGTGCTTGTCTTTGTGAGGGGTGGGGAGACGCTGAGAAAGAGCTTGCATATTCTTTGGACTGCTGAGTCTGTGCAATGAGCCTCTGTATATGCTGTGGACAGAGACACATTGCAGCCCATGGAGGGTGGGCAGGTTTTGTCCTCACTACAGCAGTGTCAACAAATGCTATGGGCTAAGGTTACCAGATTTTTTTCAATGAATCCCGGGACACTTTTCAACTTCAATGGATTTTGTATGGGGACTGATTTGAAAATCTGGGGACTGTCCCCGGGTAGGTAAATCTGGTAACCTTACTATGGGCTGCATCCAAAGCTATCTCTACTCAGAGCAGACCCATTGAAATGAACAAACCTGGCTAGCTTAGCTCCATTAATTTTTTGAATGTGTTGACTACTCTGAGTAAAACTTAGTTAGAAACAACCACTTGCTGTTCTTTCTCCCCATAGAAATGAACAGCACCAAATCATTTACATAGAAGAGAGGGTGGGGGTGCAATCGTGGACAAAGGAGGAGGCGGAGGCCAGGCTTGATCTGCTTTGCTAGGCCTGTCTTGGGTTCAGTTTCTTTGTCATGCTGGTGTGTGACACAGTGTTGAGGGGGACAGGCAGAGACCGGGGAACACATTCACACCCATATATCTGAAGCACCATGCTACAAGTTTAAATAGTATTGAGGCTCCTATTCCCCTCACAGAACAGTTCCCAGAGTGGTTTAATAGGTAGTCCCTCTACCCAGAGAACTCTGGGAACTGTAGCTCTGTGTGGGGAAGTCAGGCCTCCTAACAAGTCCAAGCACCCTGAACAAACTACACTTCCCAGAATTCTTTGGGGGAAGCCATGATTGTTTAAGGTGGTAACATAGTGCTTTAAGTATATTGTATGAACGTAGCCTGAGGGGGGAGAGAGTCATCCTTGTTAGTAGGAATGCCAAGAACCAGGCACTGTCCACATTTGCTGTGGGCCTATATAGTCGATATTCACATGGAAAGCCGCTCTGTAAATCTCATTATTCTTCCAGGGCATTTCTAACCCACATTAGCTTCAATGTGACAAGAAGATCCCTGGGACTTCAGGGTTTGCTAATCATTGCTGTCTGCCTGTCTCTCTTTTGTCCCTTATAGGGGTGCCTCTGATAGCTGCACCTTCATGGTAGCTGCTTCAGGCAAAGTCAAGGGACTGGATGCCAACCTAGGCCCTTTTCCACAGGTTGGTTGGTTATTTATTTATAAAAGCTATTTTATGCCCGGCCTTTTGTCCCCTAAAATGGCCCCATAAGATGGCTTTATAAAATAGGGAAGGGGCACACTGTCACAACATAACAAAAGTCTGTTTAAAGACAGAACCTGAGTTTTCAAAACAGGAAATGTTCTTCAGAATAATGTTGTGGGTTTTTTTGTTTTTGTTTTTAAATTAAGGTAGAAGAGGAAGAAACTGGAGCAGCCTTAGTTACACCTCAAGGTACTGTATATAGAATGTGCCTGGTCCAATCCTGTGCAGGCCTGCAATGTGGACACAAAGCTCTGAGCAGGCAAGAGCTGTCCTGTCCATTTCCAGTGAGCATATACAGAGCGTTTGGCCTAAGGCAGCCTTCACCAGCCTGATGCCCTCCAGACGTTTAGGGCTACAACTCCTATCAACTGAAGCCAGTATGGCCAGTGGCCAGGGATGATGGGACTTGTGGTCCAAAACATCTGGGGGACACTGGGCTGGTGAAGGTTGGTATTGCACAATTATTGCAAGCATATAACTCTTGAGTGTGCAGACACAGACATGAATGTTGAATTATAAACCGAAAAGGTTGCATCATGGTCATGAAATCTCCAGCTGTTACAAAGCTGGTCACAGAGACCAAGAAGTCCAACAGGGCAATAAGGAACATTTTAGGGGACTGAGTTTGTAAAACAGCTTGAAGCTGCACAAGCTCTTTGGGGAATGAGTGGTGGTGTAACCGCCACATCAGAATTTGCCCCTGAAGTGACTCCATTTGCATGTTTGTGCGCCTTCAAAAATACAATATTGTTACAGGCCACCCCAATCCCTGTCAAGCTGTGCACAGGATTCCAGGCGTCTTGGTTCTCAACCAGGGCCTGTGCTCCTTTGGAGAATTGAAGACGTGTTGAAAGCTGCTGTAGCTTTAAGAAATAAGATTTATCCACAAATTTGTACCTTCAGTCTCCATGGAGTTCAGATGTTACAGCATGGTCATCTCAAGAGGAACTGTGCAGTGCTGGAATCCAAGGCCCAGTTACCCTGACAAATTTCCAAATCTCCTGTCTGTTTTCATACCTTTGTGGGGGGGGGAACGGGACAGTTCTCTTGCATTGCCAATGTCCTCAATGGCACTTTATTGTTTCTTAATGACCCTAGCTTGGCCAGGTCATTTTCCTAGCCCAGGAAAATGCTCTGCAGGTTGTATATACCCTTCATATCCCAAATAAACAAAATCTTACCATTTATTAATTTCTAGGGTTTAGATCACATCTTACCTAGTGGTTCAGTTCCAAGGGTTTCAAATGTATATGAAAACCAGTATACTCAAACATCCCCTGTGTGAGCATCCCTAGCCTTCCAGAGCCAGCATGCTGAGCAGTCCTTGCTCCCCCCCCCCCACCAAAGTGGAAACCTTAAAAGCTCTTTCCATGCTAGGAAAATTTCTCCACCTTGCATGAATTTAACTTGCGGAATTTCAGCCAACTGACCTTCAACCATGTATCTTTGAAGATCATACTGTGGTCAGTGATGATTGTGTATAACACACACACACACACACACACACACACACACACGAAATGGCTGGTTTGGAACTGAGCAACACCATTTTTCTCATGTGATTTTATGTTTGCTTTGTTGCAGCTTCAGATCCCCTTGGCCCTTGCTTGGAGCCTCTAGCTGCCTAGCCCCACCATGTCCAAGCAAAACCGCGACGTTGAGTTAGCCCGCCTGGTGCATGACAAGCCACTCAGTCATCCTAGCTCCTCCCCCTCCCATCGCAGCCTAGCCGAGCAGCTGCCCAACGTCCCCAGCTACCGCTCCACCACTGCTGCTACCTCCCGCATCCCTGTCTTTGTCGCCAGAAAGCAAAAGGCTGGTGTGACGAACCCCAGTTTTTTGAAGGAAGAAGGGTCATCTTCTCACACCCAGGGTAACGTAGCATTTGCCATGGCTTTGTGCGTGCAGCTTTGTGTGTCAGGCTTCCTTTGTTTCGTCTGCCTGTGTGTGTCTCATGTGTCTGCTTCAATACATGTACATCCAGTAGCCATAACTTCCAGACATGTAGCTGTGATTCAGTTTTGTATCAAAAGAGAAAAGGCCAAGAGTTGCTCTGCTGTGCTGAAGGTTGCAAATGGCCTTGCTTCACAAATTGCTCTATTGAAGGTGGCAGGCAAGACTTGTCCCTTTTGGGTATACCTTTTAGAGTAGGGGTAGAGGACCATTTCTTCCCAGCAAGCCAGATGCTTATGTGCCAACTCTGGAGCCCCCCAATTTAAAAATACATATTTTTATTTTAAAAAGTAAAAAGCAAATGTAAACCAAACACAACTGGGCAGTTGTTCCATTGACATTGAAAACAGTCCTAAATGAATTCAAGGAGCATTAATATGTAGAGCATGGTGAATGCAGTTTTGAGAGGTAAGTGGATGGGGCTGTCCACCTGTCAATCCCCTAAAGCCATAGTGACATCAGGTGACACTGTGCTTTGAAGTCCCATTGTTGGGACTTCAAAGCACAGTGCGGGGGATGTTTGAAAGCTCTTTTGCAAATAGCCCTGTGCTGCTTTTTGAAGAAGCTAAGTTAATTAATTTTGAAGAAATCATAATTCACAGTATATTTAAAAATATTGCATAAAAGCTTGCCTGGAATTTGCACTAAGTTATTATCTCTGAAAAGTAATAAGTGCTTCCTATCATTACAGGAAGGAATAATCAAACCTCTTGGTGTTTGAAACAATCTGTCATATTTGAATAATGTGCCTAAGTTTTCATAGCAATAATTGTACATCTGATTGCATTTATACCTTCCAGTTAATTATTCCTGTTAGTTCTACAAGATAGTTATCTAAATACAAAAGGGTATCAATATGAATCTATGACACAGTTTAGCATGATAACACAGAATCAACAAGATGATATAAACATTTACTTTGTCAGGGTATTATAACTAGAATTTATACTCCAAATATTAATTATATTTTATTTATTTTATTTATTTTATTTCAACCAATTATATACTATGTAATTACAACCAGTATACAAGAACAGTGTACAATCAACACAATCAGTTGAAAGTATTAAAAATTAAAATATTTTCAATTGGTTCATGAAAAATAATAACACAAAAACTTTGTTTTAATTTTTAAAAAACCCACACAATTTATTACATACTTTGGCCATAGTATAATTTGAATTGCATAGAAAAGAAACTGTATAAACCTGGGATAGGACATTTAAGAGCTGGTTATGTTTACTGAAGGTGTCTGAAAATACAGGTGGGAATTAGGAGGTTGTAGTTTCAGGTGTCTCTTGATCAGTAAAGGACCTACATCTTGAACATTTTGGTATGAGGAGCCCCTGCTAGTGATGTATCCACTGGTTTTATCTGTCTTCTTGTTTTCTTCTGGCTCATTTCATATATTTTCTTGCCAAAGGATGGCCATCAGGGAGATACCCTACTGTGAACATCAGGAATAGGAATCCTAAGAATGGCTCTTCAGGGCTGCCAGTATTTGCCGGCCGTGCTCAGACCTCACCACCAAAGAAACCCCAAACCCTCGCTGTGCCGGTTATAGCCAAGGCTCCCAAGAGGTATGAACCCACAATGTTTTAGAACCTAAAGTCCAAAAACTACATGCAGATTCTTGATTTTTTGAGGAGCATTGACCTGTAACTGGGATACAAACCTGGGATAATCATTTGCATACCTTAGGGTACACAGCTGGGGTGCATCAACGGGTTTATGTCAGAGCTGATCCAATATCTTCCCACTGGCTGAGGCCGATGGGAGTTGTAAATCTGCAATGTGTAGAGGGCAACAGGCCAGCAATGGCTGGATTACCCTATGGGCCAAGAACCAGTTGCTAACGTGTTTTGCTTTGTTATTTATTTTGTTTTTCTTTCAAGTGTCCTAAATCTGTCTGGTTTCTTTCTAAAGACTCGGGGTGCCTTTTATGGGCAACCTTTAATCTGCTTGCACCTTATTAGTTCTCCAAATCTTAATTTTTTGTCTCTCAAATAACATTAGTTTGTGATCACAGCTGAGCTACCAGGGCCAAGGACAATCTCACAGCTGAAGCTGCTATTTCAAGGCAGCAACAGCAAGACATTGATACTATCTGTGTGGACTAAATTTAGGACTCACTTTTTTAAATAGAGAGAATGTTCTGATTGTGTGTACCAAAAAATACCTGACCTCTTTCTTTTCCCCCATTTCAGGAGGAAACGCTCTTCCCAGGAGGAGAGTGTGGAGGAGCTGAAAGTGCCATCTCCAAGCCCCTCACCAGTCAAAGCTTGGCCAGACCTTTCCAGTCCACAGAGAGAAGGATCACTTTGGTACAACACTAGAGACTTCCATTTATATGTGGCATTTACCGTATTTTTCGCCCTATAGGGCGCACTGGCCCATAGGGCACACCTAGGGTTTTTTTTGGGGGGGGGAATAAAGGGAAAAGAATTTATTTTCCCCCCAGGCGCGGGGCTGGGGCGGGGGAAGCCTGAGCTTCCCCCGACCCCAGCCCCCGGAATAGGCTGCTATTCGCAAGCCTTGGGAGCCCGGCGGGAACTCCTGCTGGGCTCCCAAGGCTTGCGGAGAGCTGCCCGAAGCCCGGGGTGCACAGCGCCGTGCTCCCCGGGCTTCGGGCTGCAGGCAGCTGTGTGCAAGCCTGCAGAGCCTGGCGGGAACTCCCGCTGGGCTCCCAAGGCTTGCGGAGAGCTGCCCGAAGCCCGGGGTGCACTCCGCTGTGCTCCCCGGGTTTCGGGCTGCAGGCTGCTGTCCGCAAGCCTTGGGAGCCCAGTGGGAACTCCTGCCGGGCTCCCAAGGCTTGCGGAGAGCTGCCCGAAGCCCGGGGTGCGCTCCGCTGCGCTCCCCTGGGTTTCGGGCTGCAGGCTGCTGTCCGCAAGCCTTGGGAGCCCAGTGGGAACTCCCGCCGGGCTCCCAAGGCTTTGCGGATAGCTTTCCGACCCCTCTCACTCTCCAGGCTTCAGCGAAAGCCTGCATTCGCCCCATAGGACGCACACACATTTCCCCTTCATTTTTGGAGGGGGAAAAGTGCATCCTATAGGGCGAAAAATACGGTATATCCTACCCTTTCTCCAAGAAAGTCAGGGCAGCAAACATGGGGTTCTTACATGTTATCTTTGCAGTATGTTTACATCAAACAAGAGCTACTGCATCTAGTAGCTTAGTTTGTTTGGTTTGCAGACCATAAACATCAGATACAGTGTAGGGTTAGCAAGACAAGCACAGCGTTTTTATAAAAAGTACAAGATATGCTTTCCCTTGTAAGTGTCCAGCAGTTCCTAAGAACATAAGAAAAGCCTGCTGGATGAAGCCAATGGCCCATCTAGTCCAGCATCATGTTTTCTCATAGTGGTCAACTAGATGCCTCTATGAGAAACAGGCAAACAGGACTTGACCTCCAGAGCACTCTGCCCTCCTGTGGCTTCCAGCAACTGATATTCAGAGGCATAGCAATCATGGCTACTAGTCATTGATAGCCATATCCTCCTTATTTTATAAAAGGCTGCAGGAGAAGGCTGCATGACAGACTATGCTAGAGTGTACTCCAGCCCTCCAGGCTGCAAAGCAAAGAATGTAATGAATGAAAGTCAAGCCACACTGAAAAGCTACCCACCAGTCAGCAAGAAACCTATAATTCATCTGCCTATAGCTTCCATCCCAACCTGGTGGTGCCCTTCAGATATTTTGAACTACAGCTGCTATTGGTCCTAGCTAGTCACCCCAGTCATATGATGCTGAAGTTGATGGGAGCATAGCCACACTGGCCGGGGCTGATGGGAGTTGTAGTCTAAAACATCTGGAGGGCACCAGGATGGAGAAGACCTACAGCTTGGCATGTGGTAGAAATTAGGTTTCAGTTCACAATTTATGTACCTAATTCACGATTCCCAAAATAATCCACAATTTGAAAAGAGGTGAACCTTCTAAATCCACACTTCTCTGAATTTTGCAAAACTATCAAAATATGAGTATGTACAAAATGTGTATATTAGAGCAAAGTGAGTAAAATGCATATATTATCGAAAACAACATACAAAACTGTATTATATTAGAGAAAATTGCTTGCAAATATTGGTATATTAGGCACAATTGCATTAAAAATGTGTATATGAGGAGAAATTGTCCCTCCTTCACTACAACTTGCTAAAATTGGGCCTAGAATTAAATAATATATCATTGGTCAATGAAAAGGTTTTCATTCATAATATCACTTCTGGTGATTACAGCATTGAGCAATGGGAAAGTTTTCATTCATAATATCTGGCCTGGTTTCACTATAGTTTGCCAGATCGCAGCAGCTCAACAGCAAGCCAAAACAGTGCAGTTATCAATGACCGTCTGCAAGAACTGGTGCGTCTCTTTAAAGACCGAACAGAGAAAGTGAAAGAGAAATTGATTGACCCAGATGCTTCTTCTGACGAGGAAACCCCCGTGGCATGTAAGTGAGACCAGCACCATCTATTACAAAACTTGAAGGCTCTCCTTTTTCAAAGGGTCTGTGTCTAGCAGGGGGTAAAATATATTCAACCTATTTCTGAAACTTCTCTCTGCTCCTTGTCACCTTCTGACAAGCTCCTTCTCAAGGGTTGCCAACTGCTTATTGCAACATGACTTTTGAGGTTTCTGAAGCCATAGTGCACTTACTTAACTGAAGCATAAATAAGCTTTGCAAAGCTTGGACTCAATCAAACTAGCTCTTTGCAGCAGGGGTTTAGCTTCTCTTCCACTTCCTTAGGATGGGCAGCATAAGCTTTGCTGGACCCTGATGGCTGACCCTTATGGCTGCTGTGTCAAAGGCCTTGCTGATTAGCAAATGGACGCAGCAACTTTCCAGACACACTCGCTCTCTCTCCATCCTTTGATACCAGGTTCTTCTAGGTGAAGCAGAAACCAGTTGCATGTGAAACTGACTCTGGGTGTGAGTCGGGGGGGGGGCATGACCATCACCAGAGGATGGGTAACTTGAGCACCAAAGTACATAGAGGAAAACAATCCAGGCCTTCCGTGTCTAATGATTAAAGACTCAGAAGCAGCAGTTCCCAACCTGATGCCCTCCAGACATTTTGGACTCTTGGTCCCATCTACCCCAGTTGGCTTGAGCTGAGGGGAGTTGCAGTCCAAAACATCTGGAGGGCACCAGGTTGGCTCAGAGTGTCCAAGCATGTGCAGAGATTCCCTGCCCCCCTCGCTGTTAAATAACTGCAGCCTCCACACACCTAATATCAATTAAGATGAACAAAGGCTGGCTAAAAACAATGGTTTTGATTCCAAAGTTTGCCTGGTTTTCACTTATTCCATTTGTTCCCATAGCACCTTCCAAAGAAAAGCCTCCAGAAGAAAAAGAGGGAGCGAGTGAGAAGGGTGGAAAGAAGCAAAGTCCCCCACGTGGAAGAAAATGCCAGTTCCCCAGCAGCATTGACCCGCTCACCAGTGAGTACCTGGAATGGGCTTTTGACCGAAGAGCCTGCTGTAGAATATTAAGCAGGAGGGGGGGGGGATGGCCATGTCAGTAGCTCGTCCTACTCTTGAGTAGGACCCTGGCAGAGACACATGCCTGACTGGCATGTTCTCTCCCTCCTGGTCTTTCATTCGGGAGCTTCAAAAGCTTTCTTCTGCCCGAACATCACAGCGACCGATGCCAAGAGACATCGGCACACTTAGGGATCCGCAGAGTCTTCGCAGCTTGCTTAACAGACCTCAGCAACTCAGCATTTTGGCTAATCTACTTTATTTACATATAAACACACCTGGAGCACTGCAACATGGCTCCCTCTCTCTCTAGCATCAGACAGCAGAGAGAGTGAACAAAGGACAAAAGTCCCACTTCACGGAACACAGTAACACAAACATCCTGTCTTTGTCACTTCCCACTTTGTGGAGTCAAATACAGACACCGTCATGTGATGGACAAAAATCCCATGACTGCAATCATGGAGCAGGAATTCTAACAGGCCAGAGGCTGATAGGCAGGTTGCTTGATGCTGAGCATCTCTTTTTGGAAATAGGCACTGAAGAAGGATAAAGCAGTGAACTCCATTTTTAAGTCAGCCAACTTCATTCAAACCTTCTGAATGATCCTTTGGATAAGTCCACACTCCTTCAAATTGCACTATAAAGTTCTCAGCTAAAAATAAAATACCAAAATGCATTTAAGTGGTGCATTTTAGTATAAAATACATTTAGAAATTCACAAATATTCTATATTTAAGTATGTGCTTCGTGACATAACACATGTGTTTGTATTGTAATACAAATTTACATACCTCTTTTAAAATATGGGAGGTTAATATGGAAACGGGATGGAGTGGAATTGTGAACATGCATTCAAAATTGACACAGGCCAGAAATAGTCTGTTTCATCCATTCCAAACAATTCAAATGCGAACAGAATCAAATTCCTGCTCCATCCCTACCTGGAAGCTAGGCCAGTGTGTAGATGTCCCCAGATTTTCAGATGGAGACATAAGGCTGAGAGATAAACGCTTGTCTAAGGCCACCCAGTGAGTTCACAATTAAACTGAGAGGTGGGTGCTATAATGGTTCCATCTCTTAACCAACTATATTCATAGCAAAAAAGCAATATAGTGGAGAACATTCATGGAGCACATTAATGGTTGAGAACTACTAATTCATCTTGCACAAATTTCTCATTCTCTGATCCCACAGGAACTCGTTTGCCTTCTATTTCCAGGTCCTGTTATTTTGGACCCCCATGCTGCTGTGCTCAGTTCCTATAGTTCCATTGAGTTGTCCTAAACAAGAGAAGCAGGATAAGTTCTTGGCAACTAGCAGAGCTCCTGAGTCTGTTCTGGGTTTTCCCCTCCCACTCTAGATCTGATGTACATCTTGTGGCTCTTCATTGTGGTTTTGGCATGGAATTGGAACTGCTGGCTGATTCCAGTCCGCTGGGCTTTCCCGTTCCAAACACCTGCAAATGTTTATTACTGGATGGCTGTGGACTATTTCTGTGACCTCATCTACATTTTGGATATCAGCATCTTTCAGGTCCGCCTGCAATTTGTCCAAAGAGGAGACATCATAGTAAGTGACACCCATAAAGCCTTTGTTCTATTGGATTAGCCCCTGACATTTTGGGGTCAGGTAGTCCTTGAGAAAGCCAAGCATTATGAGGAAACCAGGCCTTATTTGGAATGGTTGAGGGAGTTGGGTATGTTTAGCCTGGATAAGAGAAGACTGAGGGCCTTTCACACTTCTACTTGTCCTGTGCGTGGAAAGGATGGGTCTGAACACTTTCCTGCTTGTCCCATTCCTTTGCTCCACTGCTTTCCCCCAGAAAACACACTCCTTAGCACTAAATTGGAGCAGACAGCAATGCGCAGAAAACCTGATTGCAGTTTGTTCTGATTCAGTGCTAAACCACAGGTTTCCCCAGGGGAAAGCCATATGAAATTATAGCCATATTCAAATATCTAAAGGGCTGTGACACAGAAGATGGAGCAAGCTTGTTTCCTGCTGCTCAAACAAATAGATTCAAATTACAAGAAAGGAGATACCAACTAAACAGTAGGAAGAATTTTATGATGGTGAGAGCTGTTGCACAATGGAATGGACTACCTCAGAAGGTGGTGGGCTTTCCTTCATTTGAGGTTTTTAAACCAAGGTAGGATGGCCATCCTTCAGGGATTCTCTAGTTGAGACTCCTGCTTTGCAGGAGGTTAGGCTAGAGCACCCTTTGGGAACCATCCAATGCTACAGTCCTATGGGCTTATCCACACTTCCTCTTGTCCCACTGCTTCCCCCCAGGGAAAACGATTCTTTCGTGCTCATTCGGAACAAACAGCAATTTGGGTTTTCTATGGATTGATGTTGGTTTCCAATTTATCATAAAAGAACAGGTTTTCTCTGGGAATAGAGTGGGGCAAGGGGGAATTGTTCAGACCCATGCTTTCTAGGCACAGGCCAATGTGGATGAGCCCTCTGATTCTGTGAAAACCCTGTGTGGCTAAAGATCACAAACCATAAATGAAGAACCTGTGGCTCTCTAGATGTTGTTGAACTCTCTACTTCCAACAGCCAGCACACCCGATAGTCAGTGATGATGAGAGTTAGGCTCCAACAATGTCTGGAGGGCCACAGGTTCCCCAGCCCTGCCATTGGGCAAGCCTGTTTATCTTCACTGTCCAAGGACCTCTGTTAGCTGTGGGCACTTTGGATCTGACAGAAACAGCCACTGTGGGGGTACCCATAATATATTTTAAATTTTGGTTGGTGGACAGGCTTTCATTCCTTCCTTCTTTCCTGGCTGTGTGGCTGCCCATTGTTTGCAAATCTCTGATGGATGCATCTCTTTTTCCACTATGAAACAAGTGGTGATGACCCTCTCCTATTGCCTCCTCTTCCAGACTGATAAAAAGGCCATGAGGAAGAACTATCTGAAGTCAGGCCGCTTCAAGGTCTGTACCATTTTCCTTACTTGTGTTAATTCAGCATTCTGCAAGCTGGTGCCCTCCAGATGTTTTGGACTACGCTTCCATTGCGTCCCCTCCCCAGCTGGTTAGGGGCACCTGTTTGGGAAAGGCTGTCATATGTAAAATGATCAGTGCTTAGAAATTAAGAGTTGCATCATTTTAGTTCAACTACAGTAATTTTAGTTATATGAAGCGTTCATCCATGCCACAATCAAATATTAAAACACTGGTTTTGTTTTTGATATAATTCTCTTATGTGCACAAATGTGCTTTGCAAGGTTGCAAACGATCCTACTTTGAGGAGACTTTTAAGTTCAAGGTCTGGACAGGGCTGAACCTGACAAATATCTGGAATCTCCTGATGAAGGATCTCAGTACAGAAGAAACCACCTGGGGCTCTGAGCCCCTGGTGGTTTCTACTGATGGGGACCTTACTCAAAGAGTTTGGCTGGCCCCTTTCATCACAGGATGCCACTGTGTTTTGTTTTACATGCAACATTGTCCCTCCTGCTGTCTTTTCTCCCATCTTCCTGTTTTCCAGGCTCTTGCCTTGAATATCTTTCCTCTACGCTGTCCCTTTGCACTGTTTCATCTCCTGCTTGCTGCTTTTCACCCCCTCCCTCTTTCCGGTTCACCACTGGGGCTAAGCGCCCCAGGCCCTTCCATCTTTTTCCTCTTCCTATTTCCCCCTCCTCGTTGTCCTTGCAGAGACAACTTGCCTAGCTTCATTTATTTATTATTTCGTTTATATCCCACCTTTCCTTAATATAGCTCAGAATGGTATGGTCTTCCCCCTTTCCATTTAATCCCCACAACAGCCCTATGAAGGAAGTCAGGCTGAGAGACAGTGACTGGCTTAAAGTTACCCAGTGAGCTTCATGGCCAAGTGAAGATTTGAGCTCTGGTCTCCCAGGTCCTAGCCTGGCACTCTAACCACTACACCACACCTGGCCTCTACCTCACCCCTCTGTTCCCCTTGCACCTCTTCCCTTGCCCTCCAAAACCACCCTGGTTTCTTAGCTCCTGCACGGTGGCCTTTTAACAGGTGCTGAATGCTCTCTTTGTGCCTCTGATGGGAAGCATTCGCCCCACTTGGATTGCCTGACACCATTATGTGGTCAGAGGCAAGTCACTGTCTCCCAGCTCCAGTTCCGCACATGAACAGCAGAGATGCTGAGATGACAAACACAATAAGTATTGTAAAGCCATTTAAAGGTGCCATCAAATTACATGTAGTGATTGTGGTGGCAGATCAAGTTGCTAATATGTTTTTTGGGGGTGGGCTGCATGCATCTTTCCAGATGGATGTGATCTGCCTTCTTCCACTGGATTTTCTTTACCTCAAAGTGGGTTTCCATCCTCTCTTGCGCTTGCCTCGCTGTTTAAAGGTGAGTCAGGACAAGTTATGCTCCTACAACCTATTTTCAAAACTCTTTTTGTTGTGTTTTAGTAGATGTGCAAAGCAGGGAGGGGGAGGAAGAACATTTTCCCTTTTTTGCTGGGCTTGCTGAAAGTGGGAAATGCACTTGAGGTATTTATTGAAACCTTTAAATATTTGAAGGGCTGTCACTTTGGGCTGTCACTTTGGGCTCATCCAAACTTGTGCCACATTTCTAGGCACAGGTCCAGGCTTTAAAACTTCATGCCTAAGCATTTTATTTTCCCCCCAGTGCTTTTCCCAGGAAAACTCACACTTTCTGCAGTAAAATGAGGGTTTCCCCAAGGATGAGCCCTAAGAAAATAACAGAGGAGATTTGTTTTCTGTTTCTCCAGAGCATGGGACTCAAAGCCACAGGTTTCAGTGACTAAAATAAGACGGGGTGGGGATGCTGATTGTACATGCCATTTGGCATTGGGATGGTGGGCAATTTTGATTCAGTACACATTTCAATCTGAGCATATAAAATTTATGCTTTCCAAAATTTGCTTTTTTCTGAATGCTGCAATTCAGTTCTCCAACCAAACCACATTTAAACAAATGCATATTTTAAAGGAAAGTGTGCACAGAAATGACTATATGAGTGAAAGCAACAGACAAAAATGCATTATCTTAAAGGAAATTTCTTGCAAAGATAGGAACATTAGTCAAAACTGCATATAAACATGTGTTTATTGGGAGAAATTCACATTAAAACGCTTATGAATTTTCATTAGGATTTTTTTTAAAAAACCCTCAAATTGCTGCAAAATGTGGATAACTGAATTTAAAGTTGGAAAAAATGAGAAACTGAGAGATCCTAAATTTGCAGATCCTTCCATTGCTACCATAGATTGCCTTGGAAGGTGGCAGACTCTCCTTTCTTAATAAATTAAAAAGTTAAAAAATCCAGTAGCACCTTAGAGACCAACTAAGTGTGGGGTGGGGTTTTTCTCAGAAGGGTAGTAGGAGATGGGTGATTGACTCAATGGGTATGGTAAACCTGTTGACTGCATTAGTCCTACAGGAAAAAGCATGGGATAGTATGCAGATGCCCAAAAATAGCTTTAGCATGTGTACGAAGAACCTCACCCCACCCTCCCACTATATATAAGGGTCTGGTGACTTCTGTTTCAGTGTATCTGAAGAAGTGTGTATGCACATGAAAGCTTATACGCAGAACAAACTTAGTTGGTCTCTAAGGTGCTACTGGACAATTTTTAATTTATTTCGACTGTGTCAGACCAACACGGCTACCTACCTGAATCTCCTTTCTTAGACATTTTAAAACAGAAGCTGGATAGCTGCCTGCTAGGAATTCTGTGGCAGTGGATTTCCAGCAGCAGGAGGTGGCTTGATCTTGATGACCTTTCAGGTACCTTCCCTTAAAAGCACTTTCAAGGAATTTGATTCAGGTGCTGCTGAAGGGACACCCACCAAATCATTATTTCAGTAATTAAGAAAAAGTGCTGGGAGCTTTTCCCGCTAATTTTATTGCAAAATATTTCTCCATTTGCTCTTGGTGCTCATCTGTACTTTTCATTCTGTCCCACAGTACATGGCCTTCTTTGAGTTTAACAATCGGCTTGAAGCTATTCTGAGCAAGGCATATGTTTACAGGTGAGGTAAGCTTTTTATGATGACCCTCTTTGCTCTTGAATGCAGCTGCTATAGGAAGAGGGGAGACTCAGGAGCATTGCAGCATTTTAGTTCCTTTCATAACTTTCTCTTTGTACTGAATTTCCCCCCGCTCAAACTGAGGGATCACCCACGCTTTACTTGTCTTGTGCCTAGAAAGCATGGACCCAAGTGTTTTTTTTCCATTTGCCCCACCGCTTTCCTCAATAAAACCCACTCTTTAGTGTGGAAAACAGAGCAAGCGTCATTAAGAGGAAAACCAAATTTGCTCTGATTCTGCGGTAAAATCAGGCTTCCCTGGGTGAAAGCGGTGGGATGAGCCGAAGCCTGGATGGGCCCTGAGACCTTCTGAAGAGAAAAGCTGCATGTTGATCTACATAGTCTAATGTAATTCCATTATTTCCAGAATTCACAGCATGCAACGTTTTTTCAGAGGGCAGCAGTTGTGTTGGGCTGTTGAGGTGAAAACAACCAAGCATCTCATAGCACTTTAAAGCCTAACCAATCTGTTATGGTATAAACTGGGTGGGGGTTAGACAAATTTTTAGATGAGGCCAATGCCTTTTTTCCCTAGAACTCACTAGGTTCATGGCAATCTGCCTTCTGCCCCGGCTGCTTTTTCACAGGGAGACCTCCAGCGACCATCATTGATTGACCCCTGGACCCTTCTCACCTCTGCACATTTTAAAACTCTTTTTGAAGTTGCACATAGATGATGCTCCTAAAAAAAAATCTGTATGAAGGCAAACTTATGGAATAGGAGGGCCAAACTGCCTACTTTCCATTGGCTTATCCAGTGTAACTACCATATAACAATCACTATAATATAAGCTATTTTCTCCTTAAGGCCATACATAAGTACAATTGACCACTAGTGGCTCTATAGGTTGCAAATGGGAATGCAGACATGAAAAGTGAGATTGTTTTAGATTTAGAGAACAACTTAAAGAGTATTTTGTTAACATTGTCGTCTTTCTTCACCCTCTTTGTAGAGTGGTAAGGATCACAGCCTACCTGCTCTTCAGCTTACATGTGAACTCATGTTTATATTACTGGGCGTCCTCCTCTCAGGGGTTGGGCTCAACTGCCTGGGTCTACAATGGGGAAGGAAACAGGTACTTATTATATATTTCCTTTCTGCATTGCTATAATCCAACCACCCCCAACATGGTGCCTTCCAGATGTTTTGGACTACAATTCGCATTAGCCCCAGCATCATAGAGCCAAAAAATCTAGAAGGCACTAGGTTGGGGAAGGTTGGTATAATTCATTGTTATAGGATAAAAGCAGTAGTAGATCAGTTGCTTGGGCATTCTTATCCTCTCATATCTTTTTTAAATAAGCTATATCCGCTGTTATTACTGGGCTGTCAAGACTTTGATAACAATTGGAGGACTGCCAGACCCGGAGACCCTCTTTGAGATCATCTTTCAGCTGCTCAATTACTTCACAGGTGTCTTTGCTTTCTCTGTCATGATAGGTCAGGTAAGAAAACAATCCATGCCTTTTCAATACACAACAATCCTTGTTCCTCCCCCTGCCCCGTTTCTGCCAACCTGGAGGGGGTTACGATGCAGTGAAGGTTTAGGATGCAGTGGGCTCTGTCACTGCAGAGGTCCCCACTGTGCCCACCAAAAGCTGCGGGCAGAAGCTACTGTTATGTACTGAAGTTCTCACCCTGGGCCAGCAGGGGGATACTGTAGATAGTTTTCACTCAGGTCCACATATGCAAATAAGGGATTGAAAGTGACGTTCAGTGATTGGATAGTTACAGAAAGTGGTTACTGTTGTGTTGTAGTGGAGCTCTATATAAGCAGGCTGGCTGAACCCTTCAGTTCAGTTCTGTTCTGGCCTGTGAATAAACAAGAGCTGTTTGAAGAATCGCTGTGTCGTCTGATATGTTCACCCACAACTTAACAGCTACCATTGGCAGTACCCTTGCCCATGATGGCCAGCAATAAACCCCTGAAACAGAGCATTTTAGAGGGTGGGGAGGGGTCCAGCTATTGGCAATGGGTGCTATTCAGGCATCTCTGCTACGCCAGTCTGGAGGAGGCAGAGTGAAAATTTGCAGTTTGACTCGCCCACTTTCTGCCCTGGCTGGCATGAGTTGAGGAGTATTCACATTTTAAAAGTCTGTTAAAACAATGCTGGGGAAAGGGAAACTCATTAAGAATGTAAGCAGATGCTTAGAAAGTGTTGGGCTCTGTTATGTGGAAACTGGGACTTTTCCCAGCCTATTCATGGATAAAGTTAACATCAAGGCATTCCCAGGCTCTCGACTCTACAAAGTGAATGGCCACCATTCAGGTATCATGTTCCAGCTGAAAGAAAGAAAGAAAGAAAGAAAGAAAGAAAGAAAGAAAGAAAGAAAGAAATTATCCTACAATCTCATATAATAAAACATCTCAACATGAGTTCTGGTTTTATTTCAGGACTGAAGAAATTTGTGGCTACTTGCCTAGCTGTTTGTTTAATTCAGGCCACATTCACTCTATACATTTAAAGCACAATTATATTGCTTTGAACAGTCATGGCTTCCCTCAAAGAATCCTGGGAATTGTAGTTTGTTAAGGGTGCTGAGAGTTGTTAGGAGGCCCCTATTCCCCTCACAGTGCTACAGTTTCCACAGTGGCTTAACAGTCAGTCCCTCTTTACAGGGGACTCTGGGAACTATAACTTACTCCCATTAGTAACTTAGCCCTCTGTGAACTGGTGCTCCCCAACTCCCAACTGCCCCATAATCAACTTCCATCAGCAGAGCCACCTGGAGCTTGGGAGCTTTAGTTTGAAGGCATCAGGTAGGGGAAGGCAGAGATAGTTCAATGGTGTAGGTAGGCAATGCTGAACAAAAATCCCCTGAATGGTTTTCTCTTTATCTCACACAGATGAGAGATGTTGTTGGGGCTGCCACCGCTGGACAGACATACTATCGGAGCTGTATGGACAACACAATTAGATACATGGCTTTGTACAAAATCCCCCGATCTGTTCAGAATAGAGTCAAAACGTGGTATGAGTACACTTGGCACTCTCAAGGCATGCTGGGTAAGACTGAACTAGGGCTTTGAATATTGGCTTCATAAGGTGTTCCTCTTGTTGTTCAATACGGCTTAGGTCAAGGCTAGCTAAAATGGCGCTCTCTGGATGTTGCTTGGCCCCAGTTCCCAGCATCCCTGTCCACTACCTATTGGCTGGCTGCAGGGGCTGCTGGGGTGTGGTGTCCAACAACCACTGGAGGGTGCCACATTGGCTACCCCAGTTTAGGGCCAAACTAGCCATAATTTTGAATGCATATTTACATTTCAGGTGAATTGAATGACACAAGTAGCAGCCACAGGTGTGGGGGTGGGGTGGGGAGGAAGAGACTGATAATTACAAGCAGGGTGAGGAATTTAACCTTTTCCTTCCCTGCTGTGGTTCTATCGATGCCAATGGGACCTTTTTCTCCTATGAAAATAGCAGCTTTGGAGGAGTGGTTTTTCTGTTGGTGTCTGGACTACTGCAGGGGAGAAAAGGTTTAAACCTTCCTCCCTGACTCCTGAGATCCCGCTAGTTATCAGTCATCCACTCTAAGCAGCTGCTGTTTCAGTTTTTAAATATGTGCGCTGGCTATTCTCTAATCCGCGGTTTCAGGAAAGGCAAACTCTTCCTTACACTTCCTTTGCTGCAGACGAATCGGAATTACTGATGCAGCTGCCAGACAAGATGAAGTTGGACATTGCAGTTGATGTGAACTATGACATTGTTAGCAAGGTGCCTCTTTTTCAGGTATGGTCCACACCCCCTCAGGGATTCGCTTACTTAAATCCAGACATGCTTGTACAAGCCAACTGATTCCTCCTTCCTTTGCATTCAGGGTTGTGACCGGCAAATGATTTTTGACATGCTGAAAAGGCTCAGATCTGTGGTGTACCTGCCCAATGACTACGTCTGCAAGAAGGTAACCAGCTTTGTCTAAGAAGTGAAAAGTAGGGTTGAGCTGAACTGTGGAATGAGGGGTGAGGTGTGGAAATACTTGCAGGACATTTTAAGCATCCAATTTTCAGTGGCTTTGGATTCAGCGAGTATGAAAATGTTTGTAGTGATTGGCGGTCCTTTCTGCACCATGCCTTGATAGTACTGTTCTGCATCATTCAGAGTCGTGGCTTCCTCTCACCCCCTCACCCCCAAAATCCTGGGAATGGTAGTTTCTTATGGGTGATACCCCTTACAGAGCTAACAATTTCTAGCACCCTCAACAAATTACAGTTGTTGTTGTTTTATTCTGATAGCTCAGTTGGTAGAGCATGAGACAATCTCAAGTCCCAAGTTCAAGTCCCAAGTTGGGCAAAATATTCCTGCATTGCAGGGGCTTGGACTAAATGACCCCCGTGATACCTTCCAACTCTACAATTCTGTTTCTATGACATGAAAGCAGCAATAAAAAATAAATAGAACAACATTTAAAACTTGGGTAGTCAGTCTGAAACCTGAAGGGCAAAGGATCCCAGGTGTTGCAAAGAACACTTTTCCTCCTTGTTACTTCAGGGGGAAATTGGCAGAGAGATGTACATCATTCAAGTCGGGCAAGTCAAGGTGCTCGGAGGACCTGATGGGAAAACGGTGCTTGTGACTTTGAAAGCTGGATCTGTGTTTGGAGAAATAAGGTCAGACAGATGGAGAATGTCGATGTGGGGAGGAAACTGGGCTTGGCAGCAGGAAGGAGAAGAAAGGGGCTCAGAAAGATAAAAGTATAGTCATGTACAGTCTTGCTTACTTATCATCCAAAATGAGATCGGCAGATTTTTCAGGTAATTTTTTTCCTTCAACTGAAAAAGATTTCCCTGATGATAAGAAAAGTCCTGATAACAAAGAAATATAGGTACTTTGGCTATCCTTTCCAACCTTGAATCTTGAAACTGAATGGATATAAAGAGATGTACATGGCAACTATCTGATTTTGTTCTAGATTTCAACTACAGAGGGGGCTAAATATACTTTGGCTAACAAATACACTCCTAATCAATCAAGATTGTATGAATTCCCCCCCCAAAAAAAAAAATTGGACAAATGACTGGAGGGTCTATAATAATAGGAGAATTCAGTGAAGTTATTGCACATTAAATTAGATAAATCATCTAATAAAAAAGGGAAGTATGAGATCATTCCAACTGAACAATTGAAGCTCTCTCTTGGAGACATAGAAATCCGCATGAAATAGGCTATACTTATTATTCAATTGTCCATGAGTCATATTCCTGCAGAGTTTTTACTTCTCCTAAATTAATACAGAAAGTGAAATCTGTATCTATAAAGACGGTGACAACAGGGTTTTCAAAACACTGAAGAATTCCATCACCTAATGAGGAATTCAGAATGCACAGTGCAGAACCCAGAAAGCAAATTATAATGCCCTGAAAAATGACACCTGAAAAATCTGTACCCATTTCCCATGCCTCCTTCTGCCAAACTCTCATTATGGAAATGCAGAAGAGCAATTTGGTTCAGGGCCAGCCCACCCATGAGGCAAGGTGAGGTGACTGCCTCAAGCAGCAGAAGCCCATGAGGTGGTGTTCCACACAGGCATCTTGCCACCTCTGCTGCCAGTGGAGAAGCGGTGCTGGCAGGGGCACCAGTTTCTGGTGAGATCTCACAAGATCTTGTGGAGTGTGCAGTCATACAAGATCTTGCTGGAAGCTAGATATTTCATTGATGCTGAATGAGGTCCTCAGGAGATGCTGAGAAAAAAGGCACAGGAGCCAAGCCTAGTGCCCTGATGTATTCAGTAGTAGATGTTGAGTTATGGAAACCAGATTGAGTCCCCAGTTGATGTCTTTTTCTTTTTCTTAGCTTACTAGCTGTGGGAGGTGGAAATCGACGGACAGCGAATGTTGTGGCTCATGGATTTACTAACCTTTTCATCTTGGAAAAGAAAGATTTGAATGAAATTTTAGTGCATTATCCAGAGTCTCAGAAGCTGCTGCGGAAGAAGGCCAGGTGAGCTGCAGGATAGCCAGGTGCTGGTATGTTTGCTATGTGTGCACAGCCATACTCTCTATCAAGTCCAAAGTTTCATGAGTCCATGTTGAAATTTAGGCTCAGCAGCTCATTGGCACCTAATATTCCCAACACCTGAACAATGTGTGAAAATACCTGTTTTCCCTTTCTGTTCTTAGGAGAATGCTGAAAAACAACAGCAAAACTAAGGATGACAAAAGCAAAGGCATCATCATTCCTCCAAGAGCTGGGACTCCTAAGCTCTTCCAAGCCGCCTTATTCGCTGCAGGAAAGATGGGAGGCAAAGGGCGGTTGGCTCATATCAGATGGAAATTGAAAGAGCTGAAAGCTATGCAGGTAAATGCACAGAAAAAGTAGCTGCAAATGTCAACAGTGAGTTCTCTCCGGAAATGGGGTAGAAGAAGCTAAGAAGTTAGGAAGTTCCATGGTGTTTTTACAGCTGGGACACCACAGGGGAAGAGCAACTGAAGGAGGGCTGTTTTTGAGTTGAAAAAACAATATAATGAGCAGCAGGGAAATGGTTAATCACTTATCTCCCTGCCCTGCCACCATTCCACTCAGTAGCACCAGCATCCCAAGGCCACTTCTCATTTAGAGATGTTGGGACTTTGTTACTTTTGGCTCAATGTGTCTGATTTCCCTAGCTTTTTAAAACAAAACAACCTTTCCCCTAGGCAAGACTTAATCTATGCAAGAGCTCTGGATTGGCATGTTTTCAAAGCTTGGGCTGAAACTAGAGCATATAAATAAATAGGGTGCTTCCTATTTATGTATAGCTTCCTCTAACAGCAAGCTTGGTGCCCCAGTGTCAACAGGGATGGTAGCAAAACAAGGTCACTGAAGTAGTGATGGGCTCGAGTGAACCTAAATGTTTGCCAAAATACACACATTTTTTGAAAAACACAAAAAGGAAGCAACTAAGACCCCTTCCTCCCAAAGAGCTCAGTGGACACCAGGAGCACAGAATTTTCCTGAATTGTTTTTCTGAACGGTGGGTGTCAAGAGGGAGAGCTGCTTCAGCCCTGAACAGCTCCTAGTTTCCGCCCTGTATCCCAACTGGCTTGCTAGCACCCTGAACAAAAGCACTTTGGCTATGGGGTGAGAATATACTTTTGTTCTCTGAATACTACTGAGAGTCTCTACGCATCAGGGACTAGAAAGATAGATTATTTTTGGATCGGTGAGGGTTGTTTCCAGACAGACTTGTGCCATACATCTCCCTGCCCCAGATACCAAGCATGCCCCATATTCAGATAACCACCAGCGTGATACCTTTGTCTTTCAGGAGGCCAGTGCCACTCCAGTTCCACCTAAATCACCCGCCAGTCATAGATCGCCAGCCGGCTCCCAGAAATCAGTTCCACCTAAATCATCAGCCAGTCATAGATCACCTGCCGGCTCCCGAAGATCAGTTCTACCTAAATCACCAGCCATTCATAGCTCACCAGCTGGTCCCCAAAAATCAGACGACTGCAGCAGAACAGAGAAGATTGTCTCAAAATCTTCAGATCACTCTGTTACGGTTTGCATAACTCCAGCACCTAAAGGTGATGAAGAGATTCTCTCCGTAGAGATTCTAGACAAGGACGAAACTAAGTAGAAAAGTCCAACTAGCTGACTGTCTTGCGTCTCATAGAAGGACACTGCCATAGGCCATAGCCTGAGGAAGGCACTTTAGTGACTATGGATCACTGCAAAATGTGGATAGGCTTGGGCTCTTCCAACATTCAGAATGTAGCCTCCAACGTTGTGCTATTAGATGAAAGATGGATGGAAATCCATCTCTTTTAAAATAAGGTCTAGAATTATTTGCACCCCCAAAGTATGGGGGTTCATCCATACCTTGGCAGAATGTGGATTTTGCACCCCTTGTGCTCTTTTTAATTCACCCTCATCTATGTGACAGGGACGTGGGTGGCACTGTGGGTTAAAGCCTCAGCGCCTAGGACTTGCCGATCGAAAGGTCGGCGGTTCGAATCCCCGCAGCGGGGTGCACTCCTGTCGTTCGGTCCCAGCGCCTGCCAACCCAGCAGTTCGAAAGCACCTTCGGGTGCAAGTAGATAAATAGGGACCGCTTACCGGCGGGAAGGTAAACGGCGTTCCGTGTGCTGCGCTGGCTCGCCAGATGCAGCTTCGTCATGCTGGCCACGTGACCCGGAAGTGTCTGCGGACAGCGCTGGCTCCCAGCCTATAGAGTGAGATGAGCGCACAACCCTAGAGTCTGGCAAGACTAGCCCGTACGGGCAGGGGTACCTTTACCTTTACCTTTACATCTATGTGACATCCTCCTTGAACTACTGTTCTCCCACACTTTCCGCATCATGAATCAGGACTTGCACAAGGCACTCCCACAACCTCACTGGGCAACTTCATCAAGTGCAGATAGGAGGTTAATAATGCCAGTCTTCTTTCTGGGGGTTTCAAAGCCATTGCCTTTTGTTCTAGCCATGATGGACGTGGTGAGAATTGTTCCTCTGCCTCTGTTTGATCTCCCTGCCCTGCTTACAACCATTTGAAGAAAAATATGGTATGCTTTAATGCCCTAATCTATAATGATCTGGTGGATTGTCATATTTCCACATCTAACTGATGCATTGCAGTCCCTGGAATGTACATGCAGAACTTGCTTAGCCCAGCCTTGGCCATACTGATGCCTCACAGGAGTTCTGGACTCCCATCATCCCCAGCCAGCATGCCCCAGGCAGTAGCAAGAGCTGTACACTAGCCTTGACCTAATAAACCGGCATTCTTTCTCCTAGTCTCTTCCTTATTTCTTGTAGCCTGTTACCAGTGTCCAAATGACTATTGTCATTTCTGTGTTTTGGGGAATTCATTAACGTCCTTTTCCTTGCAATGTAAGCTGATGGGCAAAGAACACAGCGCAACAATAATTATTTTAAATGTTAGCAGCATTGTAACAAACAGCATATGTAAAGTAGCAGTGTCTGCAGGAAGGTTAATTACATTCCAAATGCCTGGGTAAACAGAAAAGCAAACCATTAGCAGAAGGGTGTTTTTGTTGTTAAGCTTTTGCAAATTAACTCATGGACCAAAACATCTAATTAACATGCCTCCCTTGATAACATCTGCCCCATGTCAGCAAGTGAACACTATTGTCTTGCAATAAGAATCATAGGCAAAAAATGGGCACATGGAATGGAAAATGAGCAAGTGGATTTAGGCTGAGTGCACATTACCCTTTATTCCAGCTCCTGTGTGCTTTCCAAGTCTGATGTTCGAAGCTGCGTACACATTATGTCAGCCCCAATCCATATCTATCATGTAGTTTCTCAAGAAATACTCCTGTTTGAAGCGTTTCCGATCAAAGCAGCTTCGATTAGATTTGAAAATGCAAGCTGAAGTCAAGGTGAGGTGTGTACAGCTCAGACAGCCATTGCACATGTGCAGATGACAACACATACACAGATGACTGCTTCACTTAATTGGAATTTAGTGGGGTTGGGGAAACAAATCAGGTAATGTGGTCAGTTGAGGACATTTCTACATCACAAATGCAAATGTGGCTTGAAATGGCACTGAGGGGAACAGGAATGTGTTTTAAGAAGCTCAGTAGCCTTTCTGAGCCAATCATTTAGCTATCCAGTAGGTGGCAGCAAGGGAGCCTAAATTGGTACACCATGAAAGAAAAAGACCTCTTGCACTGTAGTAAAGCATTTGCATCAGGGCCCAGGTCCAAATCCTGGTATCTCCAGTAGGAAATGAGGTAGCATGGGAAAGTTGAAAGAGAGATGAACATAGCTGGAGAGATTTGTAGCCTTCTACTTAACATTGTCCCTAGAAGCTCCAGTGCTGGGAAACTGCAGAAGGGCTTTCTGAATGGACAAGCGAGTACTGTGACATAATAACTGGGCAAAACACCAATTGGATCCCTCTTATAGCCATTTGCCTGAAAAGCATTCTGCTTGCTCCTTAGCAGCAAGCTAGACTTACCCATGGGTGAAGGGAAGACATGTTGGAGGAGAGTCCTCAAAGGCTCAAAGTTCCTGGAGGAATCTCCCATGAACACGTCACACCTCTGCCCTTTGGACGCTCCTGCGACACTTGGAACTATGTGCCCAGCACACAAGGAGAGGTGAGATGTCTGGAGGGACAATGGGGATGGGATGTGGGTGAGGGGGGCTGATGATGGCCCACCGCAATTTTCCTGACTCTTTCTCCTCATGGAACACAGTCAAGCAAAATCCAGCCTAACTATTACACACTGTCAATGAGTTCCTTGGGGGAAATTGAGGTATGCTGAGTTTTATCAGGCAATGGGGAAAACACCCTCCCCAAACAAAATCTGCTAAGCTTCCCATCCCTAAGCTGCGTCCCCAGACATTCCAGGAGGGATGGAGGAGAAAGCCACAACTGTGAGCTACGGCAGAGTTCGGCCAAAGGGAAGCGGGCAGCAGGGCAGCAAACACATGTGGCTTAGGAAAGTTGAACTGGGAGGAAGGATGAAGGAAAGAGGTGCCATGGCGAACTCTGCAGACAAGGACTCTGCAGACAAGGAAGGGAAACTGAAAATATAGTACACGTTTTTCCTAATAATACACATTTTTATATTCCAAATTTCACCATTTACACCTCGAAGTGGCTAACAACACTATAATACAGTATACAAAATTTAAAACCTGAATAAATTACAGTATTTTAGAAAGTAAACATTTGAGAAGCATTCAGGGTGTAAGGTTTGACCAGGTGCCTGAAACTCATTTGAGGCGGTGCCTTTATAACTTTGTGGGAGGGAGTTCCCTAGAGTTGGGCCCATCACGCTGAAGGCATGACTCATTGTGGACATGAGTTGTGCTTCTGGCCTATAGGGAACCACTAATAGTTCTTTCCCAATGATCTCAGTGATTGACTTGGGCTGTACGTAATATACATGTCATATGATCACATCTGGCTGTAAATACAAATTGGGCAATCGGGAACAGGGCATTTAAACAAATGAAACTAAAAAAGAAGCTCAGGGACACCAGTCCTCCAACAGTTTGAAACTAGCAAGGGATTGGAGGGAGGAACTGGTGATATGGATAAATTCTGCTTGGCTGCTATGGCTGGGCTCTTCCTCTCCTAACTACTTGGAATCATAGAAATGTAGAAATGGAAGGTACCCAAAGGGTCATCTAGTTCAATCCCCTGCATTGCAGGAATCACAACTAATGAATCTATGACAGATGGCCATTCAACCTCTGCTTAAAACCTCCAAGGAAGGACAGCTCATCAACTTCTAAGGTTGCTGTTCCACCGGGGGGGGGGGGTTCTGTCTGTCTGTGTGTGTGTGTGTGTGTTTGCACCTGAGACAAACAACAAAACACTCCCACTCTAGGGAAGAAGGGGTGGGTGAAGATCTACATCAGGAACAAGCAGGGAATAAAGAAGAAGAGGAGTTTGGATTTGATATCCCGCTTTATCACTACCCGAAGGAGTCTCAAAGCAGCTAACATTCTCCTTTCCCTTCCTCCCGCACAACAAACACTCTGTGAGGTGAGTGGGGCCTGAGAGACTTAAAAGAAGTGTGACTAGCCGAAGGTCACCCAGCAGCTGCAAGTGGAGGAGCGGAGACGTGAACCCGGTTCATCAGATTACAAGACTATTGCTCTTAACCACTACACCACATTGGCTCTCTACACTGGGAACAAGGGAGGGGAACCAAATCAACCTTACCTGGTAGATGAAGTGGGAACCAAAGGGTGTTGCAGGGGCGGGAAAGGGGCCACTCTCAATCATGTTGGGTGGGTGCAGACCCAGAAGACCCCAGAGGGCAGCTTCTGCTATTTCCTCCCTAGGGGAAATGTATTATTTCTGCTATGACAGCAGCAGCGGCAGCAGGAATGCATTCACTGGAGGCTGGATCTGCTACTGCTGTGGATCCTGCCGTCCGAGGCAGTGGTCTCACCTTGCTTCATGGGGTGTGCCAGCTCTGTGTTTCAATGTCAAACAGCTCTAATTGTCAGGAAGTTCCTCCCAATGTTTAGTCTGAATCTCCTTTCTTGTAATTTGAATCTACCCTCTGGAGCAGGAGAAAACAAGCTTCCATATTACAGCCCTTCAGATATTTGAAGTTGACGATCACAATCACCTCTCAGTCTCCTATTCTCCAAGGTGGAAGATATATCATTAGAAGGGGGAAGAGAAAGGAAAGTAGTATTTCTGAGCACCAACTAGAGACCAGAGTTGTGGATTTCCTGCCCTTTGAGATTTTCCCTCTTCACCGCTTTTGTTTCAGCCTGGTTACCTCATGGCAAATTCTATTCCAAGGAGCTCAGTAAGTAAACATGGGGTGGTGGGGAGTTAGTGATCCATCACAGCTCTGCAATGCACATGGAACTTCCATGCAGGAGCCCTCCTGCTTTGTATGTTCACCTGTCAATTTATGGGGGGCGATAGGAATGCAGGCAGCAAGCAGCAGGGAAGGAGGGGAATTCAGGTCACATTTTAATTGTAGCCTTCCTAAATCCCAGAACATTATATAAGCAGAAATAAAGTTACCCTTCAGACTTCTCTGCATTTTCCAATTCTGAAAAATGTATACAAATACGCCTAGTGAAAATAATGGGGAAATGTATTATATAAGGGGAGAAGGCATGCAAAAATGTGTCCATTAGCTTATTAAAAATGAGCACTAAAGCCCTGACAATTCTGACAAAATGATGCAAAAATATGAACTGAACTTTTGGAACAATTGGAATATTCAGAAACTGAGTGAGACCAAAATTTACAGATTGGCTGATTTAGCGCACCAATGCCTGAACAGGGCTTTTATTTATTAATTTTTTGCTTTTAAGCATGGCTTGTTTTAGGCTGAAACATAACTTATTTGGCATAAGAGGCTTTTGTCATATTCGCTTTGTGGTATTTTGGGGCAGTTGGAGACATTCTCCAATGCCAAGCCTGATTATTAAGCTCTCTTTCAGAATGGATGGTTTGCTATGATTCTAGCTCAGTTAATGAATCCCTTCATCTGTCAGAGAATGATCGGAAGTGTCA